CAGGCAAGGCTGGCAGGACTTGGAGTTCCCTGGGTTTATAAACCAGGCAAGGCTGGCAGGACTTGGAATTCCCTGTGTTTATAAACCAGGCAAGGCTGGCAGGACTTGGAATTCCCTGGGTTTATAAACCAGGCAAGGCTGGCAGGACTTGGAGTTCCCTGGGTTTATAAACCAGGCAAGGCTGGCAGGACTTGGAATTCCCTGTGTTTATAAACCAGGCAAGGCTGGCAGGACTTGGAATTCCTTGGGTTTATAAACCAGGCAATGCTGGCAGGACTTGGAATTCCCTGGGTTTATAAACCAGGCAAGGCTGGCAGGATGGGTCAGGGCACATCTCATGGCGTGGAGTCCTTGCCCACATGCTCTCTGTGAGGTCTCCCAGACATCCCAGTGCCATGGATGAATCCCTCATGGCCAGGCTGCCCTTCCTCTGCAGTTTGCATCCAACTCACAGCCTGGCCAGGCTGGGGCTGAGGCAGCTCCTCAGTGCTGAGTGGAGCTATTTAAGCAGTGGGTGTAGCAAAGTTAATTAGATGTGAGCTAAAATGATGCTGCTCCACATTCAAGTCAGCTCTGTGGAATGTGGAAGGGAAGCTGAGTCCCCTGCAGGTGCCAATTATCCTTGTGAGCTGGTGGAGGGACTCGGTGTCTCCTTGCTTGGATCAGCACATCCCGGTGCAGCGTGGGGCTCTGCACCACTCTGGGCTCCCAGAGCATCCCTGCAGCTGGGGGAGGCTTTTCCCAGCCCAGGAGAGGGGCTGGGTGCTGTGGGACTGAGCAGCCTGTGCTGGTCTGACGTGGTTTCAGCTGGGCTGGGGGTTCCAGCAGGGCTGTGCTGCGCCCACCCCTCGGGATGCTCAGTGTCTCAAAATGCCAGAAATGAGAATAAAGTCCTGTTTGTGTCAGTGGTGTTGGGCTGTTTGTGACCTGGCTGTTGTAATTACTGACACGAGTTGGCTGTTTGACCAAAACCTGCCTTTTTCATGGTGAGAACTGGCCCCAGCCAGCACGGACAGCTCCAAAACCCCATGAGGTACATCTCCCATGGCTCCCTCACTCTGATACCAGATCAGTGGGGTTGTGGCTTTGGAACAGGTTACAGGTATCTGTAAAAGGATCTTCACTGTTTTGCAGGATAACTGGGATGATGAGGAGGAAGAGGAGGAGGTGAAGGAGACAGAGGTAAAACAAGGTGAGACTTTCAGATAACCCCTGGCTCTGTATCAGCATGGGAACAGACACTGCTTGTGTCTGGGGTGTGAGGATCAAACCTGAGCAGGGCTGGGGCTGTGTTTAACAGAAATGTCTTGAACTCTGCTCAGTCCCAGGAGCTGAGCTTGCTGGCTTCCAGTGTTTCTGTGCTTGTGTGGGGGGAAAAAAAATCATCAGACTTCTGAGAGCTGTGTTTGTTACTCCACCCTTCACAGAACCGAAAGTTTCAGAAAAAAAGAAAATAGCAGAAAAAATCAAAGAAAAAGAAAAGCTACAGAAGAAAAAGCAAGAGGAGCTTAAAAAAAGGGTAACTCCTGATTTCTTCTGGGTCACATAAAATTCAGAGGGCGGGCTTGATTTGGTTTTTGGAGGTTGAGCAAGATCTGAAAAGGTCTTGATTAATCTGATAAACCAAACTTAGGTCTTGAACATGATCCCGTCTGGTGCTGGGAGCTTTAAATCCTGTATAGTTTAACCATGACTGGATCAGTGTTCCCCAGTTCCTTTGTGGGCAGCACGTGCTGGAACAGGCAGGAGTGGGAGTTTGATGTTTCTTCCCATTCCTTGTGCAATGAACAGTTCATTGAGACTGCAGGGAATGGGTTCCAGGTTTTCCATGTGCCCTGAGTCGAGGCAGCAGCGGCTGATGCAGTGGCTCTGGAGAAGGCACCATGTCTCTGACGTGCCACCTTCTCCCTGTGTGCTCTCCCTGCAGTTAGAGGCACCTGAGGAACAGAAGGAGCTCACACCAGAAGAACAGTTGGCAGACAAACTACGGCTAAAGAAGTTACAAGAGGAGTCAGACCTGGAGCTGGCAAAGGAAACCTTCGGTGAGTTAAGGAAATAAATAAACCCCTGGGACCCTGCAAAGCTTGGGCAGGGTTTGGCTCTCAGCACACAGAGCTGTGGCCCTGAGAACAAAGAAGTAGCAAAGATGCTGATGCACAGCAGCATTCCTCAGGCTGGAAGAGTTTCCTTAATTGTGGTGAATGATTCAGCCCATTGCTCAGGGGAGGTTGTCAGAGCTTGGGGGGTGTGCACAGCTGCAAAGAACCAGCTGAGTTCTGCACTCACGAGGCTGAGGCAGGAATGGTTTATTTGAGGGAAGAGGGGCTTCTTGGTGCAGGTTGTCCAGAGAACAGGAATAGCTGGGTCAAATTACTGAGTTTGACTCAGCTTCAGAAATTTTTGGACAAGGGTGTAGAGTGACAGAAGGAGTGGCTTTCCACTGACAAAGGGCAGTGTTAGGTGGGATGTTGGGAAGGAATTGTTCCTTGTGAGGGTGGCAGGCCCTGGCACAGGGTGCCCAGAGCAGCTGTCACAGCCTCTGTATCCCTGGAAGTGCCCAAGATCAGGCTGGATGGACTTTGAGCAGCCTGGGATAGTGGAAGGTGTCCCTGCCCTGGCAGGTGGCACTGGATGGGCTTTAACCCTTCCAACCCAGACCATTCAGGGATTCTGTGCAGTTACTGAGTGAGTTCTGCAGCAAACTTCCTTCCTGTGGGGCCAGGGATGGGCCCTGGCCGTGGGGCAGCAGAGCTCAGGGAGGTGGGAGGCAGCTCCCTGCTGGGGCTCACAGCTGATGTTCTGAGAACAGTAACAGCCCTGCCTGTCCCTGCAGGTGTAAATAGCACTTGTGGAATAGATGCCATGAACCCCTCTTCCAAAGATGACTTCACGGAATTTGGGAAGCTGCTCAAGGAGAAGATCACACAGTACGAGAAGTCCTTGCACTACGCCGGCTTTTTGGAAGCGCTGCTTCGGGACGTCTGCATTTCCTGTAAGTGCAGGCAGCCCCAGCCCTGCTGCCAGAGCTGCAGCTGCACTGGAGCAGTGATGGTGCTCAGAGGGGATTGCTCTGTTTGTACTAAATGGGGCACTGACCTGATTCCATTCCCACAAACTCCACTAAGGATCCTCTCCTCGTGCCAGAGTGCTCTTTTTGCATGCTGGTTAGAGACAGTTCTCTGAAAGGTGTGAATTTTTGTGCTGATCTAAACCCTGCGTGTTTTTCTTGAAGCCATTTCTAAAGTAATAATAATAAGAGTCAATTCTCTGAGGCAGATAATTTGAGTAGCTCATTTGGAGGGAAGCTATTACAAAATCGAGTTCATGTAATTCTGGAACTGCAGATTAACTGTTCTGGAATTCAGCATGTAACTATACAGAGATGAAGTAATTTAAACTCCTTTTCCCAGTGCCCTGGTGGCTGGAGCAGTGGCTGGGATGGCACCCTGTGCTGTACCCAGTTGTCCTTCAGTGAGGGGTAACTTGATCCCAGGAGGAGCTGGGTACATCCATCACCCCAGCTGGCAGCTTCCATCTCAGGGATTCCAGAGCTCCTAACAGGAGGGACTGCCAGCCTCTTGCACCATTAACTGATAAACATAATCATTTATTGTTAATCCAGTGCTCCTTTTGATACATTTTATGTATTTTACTGAGACCACTGTGCAAATGTCTCAGTAAGACTGTTGTGTTCAGTAACTTTATTTGCAAGTTTTACCTTCTACAAGGTTCAGGCTTCCAAGGAACCAGCTGGAATCCTTGTTGGGATTGTAAGGACCAGAACCACCCACTCTGTGTTCTGCTGATTTAAATCAAGTAATTGCCCATAGTTACACTAATGCTTATTTCTAGTTTTAGAGACTGTGGATGTTACTTAACTGCCTTATAAGAACAACATAGATAAGGAATCTTTCTTTTTTTTTTTCCTTTTTCTTCCCTGATGCAGTGGAGGTGGATGATTTGAAAAAGATCACAAACACTCTGACAGTATTATGCAGTGAAAAACAAAAACAAGAGAAGGTAAGGCTGGGGCTGTTCCTCAGGGCTCACAGCCCCTGCTTGGGGCTCCCCTGCATTTATTAGCTACTTGTTGAGAGTGCAGGGGAAATAGGATGAAAGGCAAAAGGGGGCAGGGCTGTGGTGCAGGGAGCTGGGGACACCTGGAACTGTCACAGCTTTCCTAGGAAAACGCCTGGGGTGGAAACCGTTGGCAAGGCCACGCTCGGTGCAGGGGCTGTGGCTGCTCAGTGCCCCTGGGCTGAGCCTGGCTGGGGTAATGCCAGAGCTCTGGGCCTGCCCAATAACCACCCTGGTCCTCTTGGCACAGAATAAAGCCAAAAAGAAGAAAAAAGGTGTTGTGCCTGGCGGGGGGCTGAAGGCGACGATGAAAGACGACCTGGCCGACTACGGCGGCTACGACGGCGAGTACGTACAGGACTTCGAAGACTTCATGTGACATTTATCTCCCTTCTCTTGTCTTTCTGTTGCCCATAATCCCTTAAACATGTAGCACAACCTTTCTTCCTCTAAATTCTGCCAAATGCTACAATCAGAATTGCAGTATCTGTGTGCTGGGGGCTGGAGGTGCCGGGTCCGGGCGGAAGCTCTGGGCGGGGGTAGAAGGGAAAAGTTCTGTAAATTGCAGTTAAAAACCCAAAATTCTGATAATGGGCACTGCTGCTATTCATAGCAACAGCCACTAAATCGGGAAGGAATTGGAACGAGGTGAAGGATTATAACCAGCACAGCTCCATGACATGGCCTTAACTGTCCCTGCTCCAGGGCCAGGGCTGAGCAAGAGCAGTTTGCAGCAAGGGCAGGGTGTGCACGTAGAGTTCCAGTCGCTTTGTCTTGAGTTAGAGCTTGAGGATTTCAGTATTTTGGGAACTGCCAACTTCAGTGTGGAATACTGCACCTGGGAGCCTGGCCCCTGGGACAGCCACTGCTCCAGAGCCTGACACCTGAACAGCACCTGGTGGAGCAGAGCAAGGAAAACCCACTCGTGTCTCAAGGATGAAGTTTATTTAGTTCCATTCATTTAAATTTCTACTAATGCAGCTGTCTGGGTTGGGTGTTCTTTAACAGTTAATTAAGGGGTTAAGTGTAAAAGAAAAAACCAAGCCACACAACTTCCCTGGGGCTCTCCTGGGTTGTGGTGGGTCTCTCACGACTCGGCCGTTTTCTTTCATTAAAAACCAAACTTGCTTAGCAAACTGCAGCAGTTCCTACAGTTGGGCAAATTGTTATGTTAACAATTACAACATCTGCAATGTTTTATAAAGCAACTAATTTAATAAAAATCACTATTGAGGACTTCGCCAGGCTGGCCTTGGAGCAGAGTTCTTTTGGGGCCTGACAGGAGAAATACCTGAAGAGGGAGAGATGCAAAGCTGAGCTGTGCTGGGAGTGTGCCCATGGCCTGGGCCTGGAAAGGAATTTGTATTTAATAATTGTAAAAATACACTTGCACTTGATTATTTCTTTTACTCCAAGACAGCATAATTAGGAATGGGCTGTTTAAGGCCGTACAAGATTTCAGAAATCATGCTGGACTCAAAGAAGACATTATTCTGTTGGGTACCTGAAACGTGCACTGATTCTGCTTATTGCACCCCTTTGCTGGACATTCTGCAAACCTGTTCCAGCCTCTTTGGGTACAATTCCTGGGCTGCTCCCTCCCCCATGCCCCTCATTTAAAGGGCTGCTGGGTCTCTGCTTCACCCCCCACCTGGGCCAGTCAGTGTTTGCTGGTGACTCGAGTAATTTATAAACAATAAGATTTATTATACAAATCACAATTTCAGGTTAACACGGTCAGCATTTAACTACTTACAACCTTGTGCAGTTTTCTGGAGTAATTTTCACAGAGCAGCAGAGCCCTGTGAGCAGGCCATTGATAAAATGTGTGTAAATGAGCAGTGACCCTGCAGCCTGTGCTCCGGGCTGGAGTTCAGCTGCAATTCAGTTGGATAAGAGGTCGTTGAGGCAGCAGCCAGTCTGAGGGTCCTTGAGCAGGGAGTTCACCACGTCATAGAACTTGTGGTCGTAGGCCAGCCTGTAGCAGGTGTAGATGTCCTCGCAGTGGGTGAGGAACCGCTTCAGGTTCCTCAGGGCAGCATCAGCAGGGGGGTGCTGTTTGACCCTGGAACAAGTGCACATGAGCTGAGCCACAGCAGCTCCCCAGGCCCTGAGACTTCCTCTGGGCCTGCAAGAATGACATTTCAACAAGAGGTTGCACTCAGCACCTACACGTCAATCTCCTGGTTGTTTATTTGCTCTGATTCATTTTAAGGATTTGCTCTGCCCAGCCCTGAGCTCCCTCCTTGCCCAGCTCAAGGACAAGGCTGGATCAGAGTGACTTCCATGCTGTGCCAGGAACCAAGCCCACCAACAAACCTTTTCCTGGCAGGGTGGGCAGCCCTGGCACAGGTGCCCAGAGCAGCTGGGGCTGTCCCTGGATCCCTGCAGTGCCCCAGGCCAGGCTGGACAGGGCTGGGAGCACCTGGGACAGCAGGAGGTGTCCCTGCCATGGGGATTTAAGGTCCCTTCCCACCCAAACTATTACAGAATTCTATCTCCAATCCCTATAACAAGTGGGACAGTTAACCCTTTCCTGCTGCCCCTCTGAGGGGCCCTGTGCAGGTAAAGCTGCAGACCCTCACTCACCTCTTGGCCACCTCCTGGAACAGGCCGGGCTGCAGCGGGCGCTGCTGCCGGAACTCCTCCAGGTACACAAAGTCCCCCCTGGTGATCACCTGCTGGAACAGAACCTCAGCCCAGTCCGGCAGGAACTCGTAGGCCTCGGCCACGATGGCTGCCTGCAGGGAGACAGAACAGGGAGGGCACAGAGCATTCCACACAGAGCTCTGCACAGAGCATTCCACACTGACAACTCGGTGCTGGGGATCTTCTGTTCCACCCAGCCCTTGCTGCTGTTCTTGAGGGCTGCTGTGAAATACAGGGTAACAAAGCACTGTGAACAGCCTTCCTCAGCCCCTGAAGAGGGACAATTTCCACCATCCCAAACTGCCCCAAGCCCTGCCCAGCCTGGCCTTGGGCACTGCCAGGGATCCAGGGGCAGCCACGGGTGCTCTGGGACATGCCCACTCTCCCAGGAACAATTCCTTCCCATGATCCCACCCAAGCCCCTCAGGAAGCCATTCCTTGTGTCCTGTCCCTCCATCCCACAGGATATAACAGCCACAGGCTCTGAGGCCTGGAGAAGGAGCTGAGTGCCCAGGCACTGCAGTGCCCAAATCATTCCCAACAGGAGGAGGCCGAGGGAGCCCAGCTCACCTGGTAGTACCTGGGCAAGGCCAGGATGGCTCCTGGCAGGTCCTGCCTGCCCAGGTTGATGACCCTGGTGCTCTGCCCCGAGCCCAGGAAGTGCAGCTGGAGCGTGATGAGCCGCGTCTGGCGGCGGCAGCGCAGCGCCTGCCGCACACACGAGTCCTGGAACAGAGCAGCTGAGAGCTTCCAGGGGAGCCAGGGAACATCCCTGAGAGAGCTCTGAGGTGACAGGGCAGTGACAGAGCTCTCTGCTTCACAGTCACCATATTCCATTGGTGTTACACAAAGCTCCATTCCCACAAATACTTCCACCGGAATTACGCTTGGGTTTAAATACTGTAATTGTTCTAGCCTTGCTCATTAAGCTCATGGTCCCTGCCCTGACAGTGGGGAACACACCTGTAAGCCAGGGTTTGTTAAAGCCTGAGCACAGCACACTCAGACACAGCCATGCTACTGCTGCACTGGGCTGCAGAGACACAGACCCCTGCTGCACTGGGCCCTGGGCAGCTCGGTGTGTTCTCCCAGCCCAGCACACTCCTCAGTGCTCCACAAATCATTCCATCTCACCTTACCTTGGAGTAACTTTCTGCTGCATCAATGAAGAGGGTCACAGCTTTCAGCAGCAGCTTCTTTAAATTTGGAACATCCTGAAGAGACTCCTCTGAAGCAGGAAAAAAGAAGGAATAACAATTATTTATAAAGGTGACAAAGTAAGTTACAAAACTCCCTCCCAGTACCTTGTCTGTCCCCGGTGTTGTCTCATAAAGCACCAACAAACTAAACCAAAATTTAAGTATTAAAAAAGCAGGAAGGAACACACTCCCTGCTGTTCATTTAATGGACCAAAGCTTTGCTGGAGCCTGGTCGAGTGATTGGAGGCTGGAAAGAAGCCCCAAGCACACACTTGTGGCAGATCCCAGCGCTGACCACTGCCAGTCCCACTCAGCAATCCCTTGGCACAGCTCCTGGTGTCGCTGCTGTCCCAGGGCTGGCTGCAGAGCTCACCCCGTGGGTGCCACTCAGACACAACCCCAGCACCTCCGAGCCCCTGCAAGGCCCGTGTCACATCCTGCGTGCTGAGGGAACCTGGCTGTGTCTGTACCTGCTCCCCGGGAATGCTACATCAGGGAGAGCCCTCTGGAACACCCGGGGAGCTGCTCAGGGCAGCTCCAGGAGCCCGGGACCTCCCTCCCCGTCCTTCCCCGCTCACCCCAGGGCCGGCAGTCGATGAGTTTGAGCTGGGTGGAGGCGGCAGCCTCGTGGTTCTGGCCGATCTCCCTGCACATGCTGAAGCACAGCGCGATCATGTTGTGCTTCTCGCTGTCGCCGGGCCGGCAGCGCTTGGTGTAGTCCAGCAGCGCCGCCTTCAGCGTCCCGCTCTGGGCACAGAGGGCACCCTGAGCACGGCCCGGGGCCCCCCCTGCACCCACAGGCCACCCCGGCCCCAAAAGTGACCGCCGCACCCCGAAACCCAACGGCAGCCCCACAGCCGCGCCCAGCTGGGGATGAAAATCCAGCGCCCGTGTGCTTCTCGACATACAAATGACAACGGGTGACACGTCTTTATGGCTTGCTTAAAACAAAGCTGGGAGTAGCTGTGATTTTTAAAACCCCCATGAAACTTTAACTGCAAATAAAAGCAAAGCAGGATGTGAAAATTCTGACAATGCCAAGTTTAAGCTTCAACGCTGCTCTCATTGTAGCCTTGAATTAAAAAGGAAAAAATGGTTCAACTAAAATAACTCTAAACCCCAGCATTAATTTATTTCTATGAAACCTGACTCCCAATTCAGGAAATAAATTTTACTCAGGAAGTAAAATGCCCAGACGATTTCACCCTGTGTAACCTGGGTGTAAATTCCTGCTGAGCCACACAATTCACATTGTCCCCCACGTACCGGGTCCAGCTTCTTCCTCATGAGCACCTCGAAGTAGTGCTTCTGGTGCAGCAGCTCGAAGATGTAGGTCATCTCATTGTACCTGCCAATGCCCGTCAGCAGGCGCACCTGGGGACAGCAGGGCACCTCAGGAGCTCCAGGGACCAGCCACAACCCCCTGCCAGGGCAGCCCGTGCTCCCCTGGAGCCACGGGGGCACTCCTAAACCAGCCCAAGCTGCAGCTGTCCCCCAGTGAGCTGAAAGGGCATCGTTTTATCTCATAAAAACAGGCGGTGAGGCTTTCAGCACAGACACCATTCCACTGGGCACGTCCCGGGCTCCAGGAGATCCTTCAAGGCAGCAATTAAAAGGTGCCCAGTGCCACAGAGCAGCACGTTTGCCCAGCAGCTGAATCACCACAGGGCAGGCACAGCCAGGACAGGCACAGCCAGGACAGGGCAGGCACAGCCAGGACAGGACAGGCACAGCCAGGACAGGACAGGCACAGCCAGGACAGGCACAGCCAGGACAGGGCAGGCAAAGCCAGGACAGGGCAGGCAAAGCCAGGACAGGACAGGCAAAGCCAGGACAGGACAGGCACAGCCAGGACAGGGCAGGCACAGCCAGGACAGGACAGGCACAGCCAGGACAGGACAGGCACAGCCAGGACAGGCACAGCCAGCCCTGGGCAGGTTAGGCAGAGCCAGCCCTGGAACAGCCGAACAGCCCCTGCCAGCCCTGGGACAGCCCAGAACTGCCCCTGCCAGCCCTGAGACAGCCCAGAACTGCCCCTGCCACCCCAGGAACTGCCCCTGCCAGCCCTGGGACAGCCCAGAACTGCCCTTGCCAGCCCAGGAACAGTCCCTGCCACCCCAGGAACTGCCCCTGCCACCCCAGGAACAGCCCAGAGACAGCCCCTGCCAGCCCTGGACCAGCCCCTGCCAGCCCAGGAACAGCCCAGAACTGCCCCTACCACCCCAGGAACAGCCCCTGCCAGCCCAGGAACTGCCCCTGCCAGCCCAGGAACAGCCCAGAACTGCCCCTGCCACCCCAGGAACAGCCCCTGCCAGCCCAGGAACTGCCCCTGCCCAGGGACACCCACCACCAGCCCGTACTCCTCCCTGGGAGCCAGGTGCTCCTCGGTGAGCAGCCGAGCCGCCTGCAGCACTCGCGTGATCCCCTCCATGTGGCACGTCAGGCTGAAGCAGCTGTGGGCCAGGATCAGCAGCTCTGTAACTGAGGAGCAGAGGGGTGCTGGTACTTCAGTTAAAGGGCTGAGGAAGTGGGTGACTGCCTCTCTCCAGAAAACACAGAACACACAAGCACAGAGCCTCCAGCCAAGGCTGACACGTGTGTAACACATCATCACTGCACTGCCTGCCAGCCCTGCACTGGGAAAAGGGAGGGCACGAGTTTTGCACTGCTTTGAAACATTCAGTGTCCAACTGTGATGAGTAAGAACAAAGTCACAATGCCCCTTCTGTAACAAACCACCAGGACAGCCCAGGTCACTCCCTGGCTGCATTTCCCACCTCTTGCTTAGCACAAAAATCTGAATTTTGTTTGGAAAATAAACCCTCAAGCAACACCCCTATCCACAGTGCACATCCTCAGCAATTGAATATCAAATTTGAGATCAGCAGCAGAGCCTCCCCTTTGAGCTGTGAGCTCAGGCCAACAATGTTAGCTACACACAGGTTACACCAGGCAGGATTTGCCATTTACTCACTGCACGACAGCTCCCCACGGGGCACAGAGGAGATTTTATCCAGCAGCTTCATCCCAACCAAGGTGTGATCCTGGCACAGCTTGGCAAGCTGCAGCAGCTCCTGGCTCTCCACTGCAGGGTTCCAAGCCTGCTTCTGCCCTGTGGCCAGAGAGAGAATCCTGTCACCACTGCTAACTGTGCAGGACAGAACTCCTGTTCTCTTTTATCATTAATTAACAAACCCCAAACAAACCAATCTGACATCATCCAGACTGACTGAGGACTTGGGACTACAATCCTAGAGACACTTTGGGTGTTATTGCTTAAATTTAGCTATCAGAAAATACTTTTATGCCAGTTCAACCCAACAAAATCCTACTGACAACCATACAGCTGCCTGTCATTTCCAAAGGAAAAAAGGTAAGGGAGAACACCTTTTGTCATGCTTTACACAGAGACCAAAGGTGGCCTGTCCCCCCTTCCCTGTGCAGAGAACAAAACAGCCCAGCTGTGCTCCTGCTCCCTGTGCACACACCATCCCCAGCACACACAGCCCGTGCCCACCTTTTCCCTGGGCCGAGGCCAGCAGCTCCTGGGTGATCTGCTGTGCCAGCAGCGGTGCCACGGTGGCCGGGGGCAGCCCCTGGCAGGCGATGAAGGCCTGGGCCCTGCGGCCGCGCTCCGGGCCCCGCCGCGCCAGGATGGCCCCGAGCACCTCCCGCGGCTCCCGCGCCGCCACCTCCCCGAAGGAGCAGCTCAGGTCCTGTGGGGAGCCCCCAAAAACCCATCAGAGCATCCCTGACCCATGGCAGCCCCAAAGGAGCAGCTCAGGTCCTGTGGGGAATGCCCAAAAGCCATCAGAGCATCCCTGACCCATGGCAGCCCCAAAGGAGCACCCAAAAACCCATCAGAGCATCCCTGACCCATGGCAGCCCCAAAGGAGCACCCAAAACCCCATCAGAGCATCCCTGACCCATCGCACCCCCAAAGGAGCAGCTCAGTTCCTGTGGGGCACCCAAAAACCCATCAGAGCATCCCTGACCCATGGCAGCCCCAAAGGAGCAGCTCAGTTCCTGTGGGGCACCCAAAAACCCATCAGAGCATCCCTGACCCATGGCACCTCCGGAAGGAGCAGCCAAAAACCCATCAGAGCATCCCTGATCCATGGCAGCCCCTGAAGGAGCAGCTCAGTTCCTGTGGAGCATCCAAACCCATCAGAGCACCCCTGACCCATGGCAGCCCCAAAGGAGCAGCTCAGTTCCTGTGGAGCAGCCAAAACCCCATCAGAGCATCCCCACCCAGAGCACCTCCCCTTAACCCCAGGTGATGCCTGAAGTCTGAGCTTTCCTGTTTCCCAGATTCTGTACTGCATTGTGTATAACTGAACTCCATATGAAGTGTCAGCAGCTCTCCTCACAGCTCGGTCAGACAAAACAATCCTTTTCCAGCCCCAGAACCAAGGACACCGCTGCAGCTCCAGGCCCAGAAAGTGCAAACAACAGCAAATTGAGGAGAGCAACCTGAGAGGATGGGACTGCATCACCTGGAGCTGCAATTGCACAGCTGCAATTGCACAAGCTCATCTCAGCACCTCACGTCTGGCCTTTCCCACACAAAGGGCTGGAATTCCACCCTCTGCAGCTCCTTGAGGGCACCTGCTGAGACCCTCCCCAGCCCCAGCAGGGCTGGCCCAAGGCCCTGGGCTTACCTTGGAGAGCTCGTAGAGGCACAGCACCTGCCTGCAGTAGCCCCTGCCATGGACACATCCCTCTGCCAGGGCCTTCAGTGCTGCCACCACGGCATCGTCCCCACCCCCCAGAGGGGTCCAGTCCTCCAGGCTGGCTGCTGGAATAAGAAAAACATCAATTCCTGTCTCACAAAGGCAGACAACTCCCTTACACCTGGGCAAGGCTCCCAAAACCCGCAGCAATTCTGTAACACTTCCCCAGACTTTGAAAACTGAGCTCTTGGCACCTGTGATTTTTAAAATATTACATTTCTTTCAGGGTGCCAACAAAGTAACAGAACACAAATATCCTCAATAATTTCTCAGATATAAAATTTCTAAGCAAAAGATTAAGTAAGGGTTGTGCAGCCTTCCTGATGGGTTAGGATTCATTTCTGCTCTTCTCTGTCTATTCAGCTTTACTCATCAGTATTAGTAAGGGATGTTCCAGCTGAAACTCGCTCACTTCACAGACATGCAGGGAACTTTACAGACAAACATTCTCAGCCTTAGCCTTGCCACTAAACAAGGAACACCAAACCCTTCACAATGCACAAAGGAGTGAGAAGAATGTATTAATTAAAGCATTTCCTTGCTTCAGCTACAGAAAGAAATTAGTGGCGTGTTTTCTAAAAGCAGGAAGGGGGATAAAGCCCAGTGCTGCTTTACTGGGCCAGAACTGAGAGCTAGGACACAACGAAGGGGATTGCACACAGACACAGCAAGGCGAGGCCACAAACTCCCTTCAGAAGAGCATTTCTGCAGCAGGCAGAGAAGGCAGGAGGGGCCGAGCCGGTGCAGAGCCAGGGGAGGGAGAGCAGAGCAGGGCTCAGGGGTCGCTCACCGCCGGGGGCTGCGCCGGCCTCGCTCAGCAGGGCCCGCACCTCGGGCTGCTGCGGCCCGGCCTCGCCCAGGGCCAGGGCTCTGCAGAGCAGCACCAGCGCCACGTCCCTGTGCCGCAGCTGGAAGTAGCCGCACACGCGGGCGGCCTCGAGCACGCTGCCCTCGTCCAGCAGGGCCCCGAGCAGCGCGCCCACGCCTCCAGGGCCGGCAGCCTGGCGAAGGACAGCCGCCGGGCCAGCGTGCCGAAGCGCAGCGCTCCGGGGCACGGCGCCGCGCCCTCGGCCAGCAGCGCTCGCTCGGCCACGCGGCACAGCCAGATCTGCTTCTCCACCTCCTGCAGCTCCTGCGCGGCCACGCCGGGCTCCTTGGCCAGCCAGCGCCCGGCCAGGGTGAGCAGCAGCTGCCTCTCCGCCAGGCCGCTGCTCTTCTCCTGCCCGGAGCTGTCCCACGCGCTGTCGGCCTGGCGCAGGAAGAAGCCCGCCGCGGCTCGGCTGCAGATGGAATGTCTGCTGAAGGTGTCGTTGCACTTCTTCCAGAAGTCAGCTCGTGTCTGGCTCTGGTGCCACTGCCCAGCCTCTCTTAAGTGATGCAGATCTCTCAGAAGCTGTAGAATACACAGAGGTTTATCACAATTATCTTTCCGAGAAAGAAAACTCCAACTCGCACAGGAAGGCCCGCACTGAAACACTGGATTTAGAGAAGTGCCCCAATATGCAACAAGTCACAGAACTGGTTTGGGTTGGAAGGGACCTTAAAGACCATCTCGTTCCACCCCCGATGGACAAACCCACCTGTTTTTCTCCCCAAATAAAACTGATTGCATACAAATAAAAACAGGAGAATGAGGACAGCTGTCCTGTACTCTGCAGCTCAGCACTTACAGCCTGTGTGTTGGGTGCACTTGCATTTAAAATAAAAAATCATCTAACAATAAAATTAATGTTTCAGGAAGGCTGAGAAGCTGCATCCTGAGTCCTGGCAGCAGCAGGAAGAGGTGACTGTCACCAAGTGCACTGTACCTCGTGTGTGACCACGCTGTCCACAGGCAGCTCAGCCAGCGCTGCCACCTCCCGAGCCAGGCTGAACATTCCCTTCTCCTGCAGCTGCTCCAGAATGGAGCTGCACTCCGCCTGGAACGCCTCCAGGCTGCGGGAGGTCAGGATGGAGCGGCTGATGGAGATGGAGGAGTCCCTGAGGGCCTCACTGAGGGCACAGAGCCTCTTCAGGTGGGGACCTGCTCAAAGAGAACAACGCTCAGCACAGTTGGGGCCGGAGGCCAGGAGAGGCTGAGCTTCCCTCGGGAGCCAGCCCTGCCGGAGGGCCGGGATCCATGCTGTCCTCACCATCCAGCAGCAGGCTCTGTGCTGCAGCAAGGAGCTGCAGGAGCCTGCCCAGCTCGTAGTCGGTGTGGCACTGCTGCAGCATCAGCTCCAGGAGGAAGAGCGCCTGCGAGCGCAGCCACGGCAGCGGCACCGCGGGGGCTGCTCCCCCTGCAGCCCCCAGCTGTGGGAAACAAGGCCTTAAGGCTCAGGGCTCCCCGTCCTGAGCCTCTGGCAGGGAATGGGAGGTGCAGCAGCTGTGTCCCTCCTGAGGGGACAGGGAGCTGCCAGCCCCGAGCTGGAGCTGGGACGTGGCACAGCAGGCGAGCACCAGACACTGCTGAGAGCCAGGGGGACGTGGGAGAGCTCAGCAGGGCCAGGCAGAATTAATTGTTATACACACAGCCCTGACACTGCTGGGGAAGGGAACTGAGCTGCCCGAGCCCAGCATCCAGGAAGGAAAACCATTAATGACAGGGAAAAATGTCAGTTAGCAGGGAACCAGAAACTGGGATGGAAAAGAAAGAATTGTTAGTCATCTGCACTGAGAGACAGAGTGTCTTCACACACTGCTCCTCTTGGCCCAGCTGCCCAATCCCAGCAATGGCACTTACAGAAAATTCATTTCCTTACATTTGTGAGGCTTTCCTGAAATTTGTCCAGCTTGGTTTTAGCTTCGTTGTACTTCTTACAGTTCATGCACAGCTCATAAATCTCCAGGATGTGCAGCAAAGGGGAATCCTTTAACACACAAAACCAGATGATAACAAATTCCCAAACGCACCTCAATAAATCACACTTTAAAAAATCATCTATTACTTCATTCAATAAATGTAAAATTTGTCTCCCTCACCAGCAGAACAATGAAGTTTCAATTTATTAAAATTGCATGCAAGGTTATGTAGGATCTAAAAATCTGTGATAACTGGAAGAACTTCCACTTTGACTGGGAATTTCAGTGGACAGCCAGGTTATCCTTGGCACAAAGGAAGGCAGAGGGGAATTTACAGGCCCAGAAGGTGAGACACATCAAACACACCCCTGAAACCACATCCCCTCACCTTTAAAAAGAGCTGGAAGCCATTCAGAAGTGTTTTACTCTTCTGCTTCCTCAAGAGGACTTTCCAGATGACAGCAAGGTCCTGCAGGTCCCACTGGGGGCTCTCTGCCTGGCTGTGGGCCGTGGCCTCAGCCCTGGTGGCACCATCCACAGAAGTGACGATCCAAACACAGAGGCAGGAGACGAGGCTGGCACCCTGGAAATGCCAGAAGGAAGGGTTCACACCTCCCCCGGTGGAAGGGGCAGCACAGAAACACCACGGCAGCTGTGACCCCGCGGCAGAGGCGGGCACCAGGCTGTGCCAGGCACCCCCAGCACAGGGAAATGCAGACTCACGGGGCACCAGGCTGTGCCAGGCACCCCCAGCACAGGGAAATGCAGACTCACGGGGCAGCAGGCTGCCAGCACGCTGAGGACGGGGCTGTGTGCCCGGAGCCCTTCGGCCAGCAGGAACCCCCAGGGGCTGGGCTGCTCCTGGCACTGCAGCAGGCTCTGGAACAGGCTCCCTGCACGGGCCCTGCCAGCCTCGGCGCCCAGCAGCCTCCCCAGGGCCAGCAGCAGGTGATCCTGCACCGCGGCAGGGAAGTCCTGCAGCAGGGGAATGACCTGTTGGGAAAACCAGAGCCTCGTGAGGCCCAGAGACACGGCAGGATGGAACGCCGAACACGCGGACAAAACACTCCCCAAGCTCAGTGTTTAGAACAGCTTTGGAGACCTAGAGAGGAAAAAGGGTTCTGGAGGTGTGGATTATTCTAATGAAAGCTCATCCTTTTCCACAAAGCTCAAATGTCTCCTAGGGAGCCTCAGTTCTGTTCTCTCTTGTAGTGCAGCAACAGAGCATTAGAAGGGTCTACTCGGGTGCTTTTGTGGAGTTACAGATTCTTCAAAACAACAAGCAAATCCAAGTTAAAATCCTGGGCCTGCTAAGCACCATCCTACCTGGAATCTCCCACTTAGCTTCCTCATGTGACTTCTCCCAATTGCTTTTATTGGAGTGTTTTATTCATTTTTAAATCACATTCAAAATCAAAGGTGGAAAATTTGGATTCTCAAAAGTTTAAGTATCTTCACAAAAAAATCAATGTGAGTTTTGAAAGGAAAGATGAGTGGCTTTATTGTAACTTGCACTGAACATCTGGCAACTCTCTAATTAAAAAATAGCAGTAACTACTTGAGTTTAAATTAAATTCACAAGTGTGGCTGCAAGGGAAGGGCTACCACAGTGCCAGGGTATGGACATCCCAAGAGAACCAAAACCCAGGAAGTGGTCAGGCCCCTGCTCTCTCCACACTGGGACATTCTCTTGCCCCAGGACCCAGTTTGGTGCACAGGAGCTCACCTGGGCTGGCTGGTGGCCGTGGAGCTGGGTCTGGATCAGGAACTGCAGCCACTCGTTGGATTTGGCACATTCCCTCAGGAAGGACGTGCTCAGCTCCAGGTCATGCAGCTTGCAGAACTGCATGACCAGGGCCCACTGCCTTCTGGAGTCACTGGATGTCCTGCACACAATTGAGAGAGCTGCAGGTGCACAGAGATGCAACACCTGCAGCAGATGCTCAGGCCTGAAGTGAGCCTGTGAGTGCCTGCAGACAGCAGCAGGGCATGCCAGGGGTCACTGCAGCCAGGCCACTGTCCTGTGCTGCCCTCCTTGCTATCATTTGGCACACAGACAACAGAAGGCAGTGCTCAGCCCCCATTTCCCAGGTAACCCCTCAAACCAGGCTGCTCTCACCTCTTTATGCCTTGCTGCTCAATGGCATCCCAGAAGGCCTCTTCCAAGGAGGTCAGAAGTGCTGCTGCTGCTGCCTTTTCACCATCAGCCAGCTTTGTTAACTTCTCCACTGTTTAAAAGAACACATTCCTGAGGTGCTACTGGGATCAGAGCCAGGGCAGCACTTTCAGGAGTACCAGTAGCTTCCTAGCTGGGAAAGCCCTGGAGTTAGAAATTCACCTTTCTCAAGTTATTTCTAGGATAAACTTAATTTCCCTACAGCTTTGAACACTTGATCTCCCTGCAGGTATGTGATAGGAAGGAGAAAGGAGATTTGCCAGTGGACTTTGTTTAACTCTCTGTAATATTATTACAACTGAACCTCACTAGTATCAGTCTCAGGCAGCTGCTGGACAGTGTCTGTTAGATCCTGATACAAGCCATATCAGTCCTCCTGCCTTATTTAGCACTACAGGATCAAAATTAGTAAAGAAAGCACCTTTCAAAACCAGTAAAGAAACAGGAACAAAAGAAGAAAGTTCTTCCACGCTTTCAGCGCACTGCTGAGCCCCCGGGCAGCCCCTGTGCATGCCCCCTCCCTGCCCAAGCACCCACAGCAGCTCTCGGGGGCAGAGGAGCAGAGCCTTACCCAGGGAGTCCCGGCTGAGGCCGTGGGGAGAGGCGTCCCTGCTGGAGCTGTGGCTGCACAGGAGGCTGGCAGCCCCGAGGTCCACGCGCAGCCCCAGGCTGTCGCGGCCCAGCAGCTCCAGGAAGCACACGCAGGCTGCGGCCACCGAGGGGACACCCAGGCAGCTCAGGGCCAGCAGCTGGGCCTCCCGAGCTGCCTGCTGCATCCTGCAGGGAGCCACACACAGCTGTCACCCCCTGCACCAGGGCAGCTCAGCCTCCCTTCCCAGAAAACCCCAAACTCCTTCCCTGCAAGCAAGCGCCTGCGGGGTTTGCTGAACCCTGAGCCAGCAGCATCAAGGGTGACCATGAGCCAAAAGTCTCACACTTGTAAAAAATGTGGGCACGTATGAGAATGGAGGCTCACATGTGATAAGCAGAGTTTGCAATTGAATACATTTAGCAAAAGCTAAAGGCAGTGGAATTGGTTATAATTATTGTTATAGTTAACAACACAGCCCCTCAGCTGCTGAGGGCAGACAGAGCCTTTGCAGAGTTCACAGCCCACTGCAGCACCAGGAACCTCAGTCTGACCTGCAGATGGTGCTAAGAGAAAAATGGACCCAAAGAGGTTTTCCACAGCAGTCACTGAAATAACCCTGCATCCCTGACTGTCTGTAAAACCATGGCTTCACCCCACAGCAATGTATGCTTCCCTGTTAGCCCCAGTTTTACCTGTTTACACAAGAGAAACCAATCTGTGTGGAAATGATGGAGAGAAACAAACAGTGACTAACACACAAACCAGACAGAAACAAAGTGATTTGCTCTAATTCCCACACTAAACAGCAAATTTCATGTATTCAGGTTAAGATGTGTCACTTGACTGTACCCTCCTGAACACCTGATTCTGAAGCTTCAGCCAGGACATTTAATTCCATCAACCTCCAGTGCATTTTTTGCCTTACTAGTTAAACTAAAGAACTATCACCACTAGGAAATGCCACAGAAAAGGGGCATCATGCTCCTACAAAGTCACCTGGGAGCTCAAGTTCCTAAAAGAGGAGCCCACCCGTGTTTGATCAGACTGGGGATCTTTCCCTCTCTTCCCTTGTGCGGATTTACCGAGGCAATTCCAAACACAGCTCGCCTCCTTCCAGCAATATCTGATTTCTAACCTCCAGACCACCCCCAATTCAACCCACAGCAGCAGCAGGGCTCGGCTGCAGAACCTCAGCGGAGAGCCAAACGCGCTCCTCGGGCTCTAAGTCACATCCAGAACCAACTGAAATCCCACTGCAAAAGCAGAGCTCTGCACCACCTCAGCTTGCTTGGAAAAGAAAACATTGGTTTTCTATGTTATATTGAAATAATTTTCTGTATTTAAAAAAGGTTCTGCCTGTGAAGAGCTTAACGCGAAAATCTAGAACTCTAGTTCCAAACAGAATTTCGGTGAATTACACTATGTTTCTTGGGAAAGAAATAGCCTTTTGAGTACATTTATCTGCCAAATAATTCCTCTGGAAAGTAACTTATTTTAGGTGCTCAGGCTAGGAAAGCATGTAGACCTTGGCAAGGGACATACCTGACACAGCAAGAGTGTTTGTTGACTGCCAGCCAAACAATTTTGTGGGATCAAAGGGCATTAAGGACTGAAAGATCAGAAACAAAATTAATTGAGTCAGTTTAAGAATTTCACATCATGGTCCTGTAACTCTCAATTTCTAATTCTCTTACCACTGCAAACATTATAAATTGAAATATTGCAATTTCTGCACTATTAAATTTCACATCATGGTCCTGTAACTCTCAATTTCTAATTCTCTTACCACTGCAAACATTATAAAATTGAAATATTGCAATTGATGCACTATTGAACACCTCACCCACTGAACACTGTGAGAACACCCCTCTCTGCCACTGCAGCACTGCAAACCCACAGGCTGCAGAGACCACTGGAAAAAGCAGCTCAGGATGAGGCTGTGAACTTCAGCTCCACGTCAAGGATCCCAAAGAAACAACCCCTGGCCCCCAGCCCCAGCTTTAGTGCAAACAAACTGCTCTGTCCTCGTGCCCTGCAAAAGCACTCTGTACCTGCAGAAGGTGGTAGAGAGAGATGTCAGGGGGCAAAATCCCATGAGCAGTGCAGGAGGGAAAGAGAGCAGCCTTGAGCTTGGGGTAAGGGGTCAAGGCCATCTTCAAGAGCTGTGGATCAACTTTCTGTAGAGGTTTTTCTGTGTCTTCATTCTGAAGGACCTACATTGCAAGATAGCAAAATTAATTAGGAGGAAACTGCATTCCATAGCAACAAAACAATTTTGGGGCGTCCCAATCTACCCCAGGGGAATTTGACAACACAGAAAGTATCATCTTCTTCCCTGTAAAATGCTTTTAAGATGTATCAGCCCCACATTCCCCAGCAGCTGCTGCTGCAGGTGACTGCTGTGGATCAAGACACTCTGGTCATCCCCTCTGCTCCAGCAGTTTCTATCAAAGGGACATTTTCCTGTCACAGGCACGAGTGCAGACAGGGGAGCAGCAGGACAGGGGGTTCAGGCAGTACCTGGTCAATGCCCCCAGGCCCATAGACCGTGGTGGCCAGGGCCAGCAGGGTCCTGCCCTCCAGCAGGATGCTGCTCACACCCCCCTGGCTGCTGGGAATCAGCATCTGAGCGTTGGCCAGACTGGCCTGGAAAACCATCTTGGGATCTTAAAAGGAAAAAAAAGTGACATTTAGTTCCATGTAAAACCAGTATTAAACCATCAATCACACGTTACAGCTGTCCTCTGACTGTGAACAATGCTGGATTTTCTACTTTTTGTTGTCCATACTGGTTTCCCTCACTTTGCCTACAAATACAGAGAAGATGAGGTAAGCTTTACCAAGCTCTGCCTACACAGATAGCCTGGGGTTGAGTCCCACACTTTAGCACTGGAGTGGTTCAATTCTTTATCCTACACTGATTGTGCTTTCTAAAAAAAGCTTCACTTGGGGTTAGTTTTGTCTTTTGTTGATGTGTGACTCTGCAGAAGATGAAATGTTTTAAGAGTGCAAGGAGGTAGGGACACAAACTCTACTGGCTTTCAGCAAAGCAAACACACAATCCAAGGGCAGAGAAATCAAAAAGCACCACAGGGACTAGAGGCAGGTTTCATTTTCATGGGGTGTGTGCTTTCCTATGAATTCTCCTTGTGCTCAAGCTGCTGGAGATGTAACTAACTGGAGGTAAGGATGATTTCACACAGAGTGATTCTCACTTCTGTGCAGTCCCCAAGTCTTTAAGCACAGTTCAAGCAGAATTACAGTCCAGATTTCCAGACAAGGAAGTGATGGACAGGGGCTTTGCAGCAGAGCAGAGGTTTAACCCAGCTGTGCCAAGCCCTGGGCCAGGGCAGGAACATCAGCCTCCTCTGGAGCAATTCCTACCTCGGGGATTGCTGGCAACCCCTCTGCACTGCACCAGGAACTCAAACCAGGGATGTGCTTCCTGCAGCTCCTTGTCATCCAGGACAGGGCAGTTTGAAGGGGTTAAACTGCAAATAGATGAGCAGCACAGTGAAGATACAGCACTGCTAACCAGTGCTGTAACACAGCATTAAAGACTGGAGCACCTCATGGGAGTTAAAACCAAATACAAGTGCTTAGACAAACAACCAGAAAATGATGTACTGGCTTTTTTTTCTGGCCACTTCTACATCTCTGGTAATTCCAGTGTTAGACTGGAGTTAGAGCTCACAAATTTTAATTGCCAAGTATCCATTAAGTGGGAAGTATTCATATAGCTCCAATACCTACTACTGGTACCACCTTCAAATCCCAACTAGCCCTAGATTAGGGGGAAACCAGCAATTTCCTCATCTGTGAATGTATCAGGAGTCAACTCACACTTGTGCTCAAGAGAGTTTCTGGATTCTGTAGATTCTGAGTTTCTGAAGAGCAACTTGTCTGGGCTCGTTTAGGATTGCATTGCCTAGAGCATTATACTAATTACAGCTGTAATTGTCTCCTTTCATGACTGACACACAAATTAATACTAAGACAGTCTGAATAAAGCTTCAAAATGCAGCTTAAAATCTCACACGCTGTCCCAGAGTCTCTGCTAAATGACACTGCCAGGGCTGAGGAAAACTCTCCCCACCAACTGTTCAAATTGTGTTTCCTTCCTTAAATCTGGGATCCCTCGTGGGGTTTGAGGGATGGGAAGCATTCCTACCTGTAGTAGTCCAGGTAAGTGTAGAGCAGGTACTGCAGGCTGTGCTCCAGGCAGTGGAGCACAAACTGAGCATGGAAGTCCAGGCCACTGGCAGTGCTGAATTTTGGAACAGGGTGAGGATTCTGCAGGACTCCCCCCAGGCAAGACAACCTCTGGAGCAGCAGCTCAAAATCTTCCAGCTCAGAAGGGACAAAAATCCCCTTTCTGTCAGAAAAAAGCACAGGCACTGATCACAGAGCTCTCCTTGACAAGTCCTGATGGGTGCTTCCAGCTCACAATTAGAGCAGACCTTTCCCTCTCAGGGATTAATTCCTTACTGAGGCAAACACAGCGAGCCAGAATCCATCTGCCTGTGCCCCAACATCACTGTGGTTACTGCAGGGCACTGCCCAGAGCAAGGTGTGAGCAGGGAAATGCCCAGCATTTCCTGCCTTGCATTAAATGCACTGCCCAGAGCGAGGTGTGAGCAGGGAAATGCCCAGAATTTCCTGCCTTGCATTAAATGCACTGCCCAGAGCAAGGTGTGAGCAGGGAAATGCCCAGCATTTCCTGCCTTGCATTAAATGCACTGCCCAGAGCAAGGTGTGAGCAGGGAAATGCCCAGCATTTCCTGCCTTGCATTAAAGTGGGCATCAGGAATATAAACCCTGGGAAACATCCAAGGACTGAGGGAGGAGTGCTCCTGCTCTCATGGCTCTTACTGTTGCCAGATAACTGAAAACTGGAGATAAATCACATTTATCAATGGATTTGTGCTGTTTCCACTAAGAGCAGTATAAAAATTAATATGTATCAAGGATTTTCTGTCTGATTTTGGTTTCCCACAGAAAGGAGACAGAGTGTGCAGCCTTGGGCCCCTACCTGGCCAGCTTGGTGAGGATGTCCTGTCTCATGTAGGGGCTGCACAGAGTGCTCCTGTCCACGATGTCAGGGCTCAGGGGGGGCCAGGCAGCTCTGTCACATGGAGCCTGGCTGGGCTCTGACTCCTCAATCCAGGAACAAATGCTCAACCAGTCATGCTGGGCTGTCAGGTGCATCCAGAGCACCTCAGCACTGCAGGTCCTGAGTTCTGCGTTTCAAAAAGGCAAATGGATGAAACCAGCACACACAAACACTCCTGAGGGAAATACTGGTGTTTTCTTACACAGAACTGTGGAATGGTTTGGGCTGGGACCTTAAAGAGCATCCAGTGCCATGGCAGGGACACCTCCCACTGTCCCAGGTGCTCCCAGCCCCAGTGTCCAGCCTGGCCTTGGGCACTGCCAGGGATCCAGGGGCAGCCACAGCTGTGCCAGGGCCTGCCCACCCTGCCAGGGAACAATTCCTAATTCCCAGTATCCCATTCAGCCCTGCCTTCTGGCAGTGGGAGCCATTCCCTGCGTCCTGTCCCTCCAGGTACCTATTTTTAATGAACAGCTGCCTATTTTTAATGAGATAATGAACAGCTGCCATGAGACCAAGGGCAGCTTTTGGAGCCTGACTTTGGCAGAGCTGGAAGCAGTTCCCCAGGGCAGGGGGTGGGACAGGACGTGGCAGAGGGTGGCATTCACACGAGGGTGGCAGAGGGTGGCATTCACACAAGGGTGGCAGAGGGTGGCATTCACACTGGGCAAGTCCCTTCTAGCTAATTCTAAATCCCTCTCCACAGGAGGAGCCCAGACCCTCAGGATGGAGCAGGGTGAGACCCTCAGGATGGAGCGGGGTGAGACCCTCAGGATGGAGCAGGGTGAGACCCTCAGGAGGGAGCGGGGTGAGACCCTCAGGAGGGAGCGGGGTGAGACCCTCAGGATGGAGCAGGGGAAGACCCTCAGGATGGAGCAGGGTGAGACCCTCAGGAGGGAGCAGGGTGAGACCCTCAGGATGGAGCGGGGGAAGACCCTCAGGATGGAGCAGGGTGAGACCCTCAGGAGGGAGCGGGGTGAGACCCTCAGGATGGAGCGGGGTGAGACCCACGCCACCCCCTGTGAGTGACAAACACAAGGCCCCGTGTGGCTGTCCCCCCCATCCCACACAGCCGTGCCAGGGCACCCCCAGCCCCCCGAGGCACAGCACTTGCCTTGCCGTGGTGTCCAGGGCAGCAGCAGCATCTCCTGCAGCAGCTGCTCCCAGCAGAGAGCCCAGCTGAGGGTCACCGTGAGCCGGGGGGCACGGGGGCTGCCCCAGCCCAGCTGGGAGCCCAGCACTGCCCGCGGCCCCGCCAGCTCCTGCTGCCTCCTCCAGGGGCTGCACCTGCAATGGGCTGGGCTCAGGGGGGCTTGGGGGGCTCAGGGGGGCTTGGGGAGGGGGCTCAGGGGGGGCTCAGCAGCCCCAGCACAGCACACAGCCCCTGGGGAAGGCTCAGCAAAGCCCCCAGCCCGGCGTGCCAGAGGGACTGACCTGAGCTCCAGGGTTGAGAAGTAAAGAAGTGCCTCGTTTTTTCCAACAAACTACGAGTATGGTAACAGTTCTACCATTATTTAACTGTAAAATTGTTTCCTAGGTTATCTGGTTTGCTGCATTAAAGACATCGTGGATCAAAAGCAGAGCAAGCATCTGAACAGGAATAAGTGAGTGGTGATTCCAGTATTATTATTAAAAATGCTTCCTTGGAAGCAGAGCTGTCACCCTCACAACAGTTTGTCATGACTCACACAGCAGTTTGTCACGAGACAACGGGGCAGCAACTGCCACAGTAATGAGAAAATTACTCAGTCCTCACACTGACTTCTGCAAACCAACACCAGTGTGAAATTAATGAAGTTAAAGACTCTATTTGCTAGTGCAGTAAATCTCACAGAATGTAGAATCCAGCACGTTTTAAAACCCATAAATGCTATTAATTAAAATTAATAACCTGCATTACCTGGAAAGAGGCTGAGTCTCTTCCTTTTCCTGGAAGGATTCAGAGTAGAATCTTTCAACCTGATGCACAAAGTCTATAATTTTCTTCTCTTTTTCAGAAAAATAATTTTCTTCTTGTAAGACTTTCACCTTTAATTCAAAATTAAAATGTTACCTCCACCTGTTAAAATATTACCTCCAACTGCTCCCACTTTTTATCTGTCTTTTATCTATTCAAGTTGTAAATGATCCTGCAAGTGCAAACAATTAACCAACTATAGGAAAAAAATTCTGGAAGCAGAGGGCAATGCACTTAAATGACAAGAGGACTCCAGACTGTGTGAGAGAAGCAGATCAGAGCAATAAGTGACATTGGAACAGCTCTGCAGTTTAAGTGCAGATGCAAAGGAACAGGAATGCCCCAGGAATGCCCTCAGGTGCAGGTACAAGCCCTGGCTGTCCCTGCTCTGAAGGTCAGTGCAGTCGGGTTTTCTCAGACCAAGCTTTTTTCTGACCCAGAGATGGGGCAACTGAGAGGTGTTTAAAAGCTTTTTTTCCATTTTCAGTCTCATGAGAAGGGTGAGACAATACAGATGTTATAATTCACACCATCACAATCAGAAGCCAACTATTTCCTAATTACACTCTAAGTGTTTCTTAGCCTATCAGCTTTTACTACACTATCCTGCAAATACCTTAAAACCAATCATCTAAAATTACCCCTCACGGGTCCTACTGCAATACACCTTTCATGATTCTATTTCTCTAAAACATCTAGTCTTATTTGTAAGGCCATCCTTTGAAACTTGTTTCTAGTTCCACTTCTCCCTCAACAACGTCTGTGCTGTTCCATAGCATCTCCAAGTCGACATTTCTCACCTCAAAGCTCACATACAAACACACACAGCCAGCCCAGTTCTCTGTAAATCCATTTCCCAGGGTTTCCCTGAGCACAGCCCCAGCTGAGGCTGCAGGGTGGAGCCCAGCAGCCTCGCTGCACTCACCAGGAGCTCCCTGACGTGCCTGTCCTGCGTGTGGAAGCAGATCTTGTGCAGCTCCTGCCTCACGTCCAAGCCCTGCCACAGAGAGACACTCACTGTGAAAGGTGCCCACAGGACACACTGGAAAGGCCAAACCCAGAATGAGCACGGCTGCTTTCCTCCCAAAGCACCCAACCCTGACAAACAGGCTGTGCCAGACCCTGCCCCAGCTCCTACCCTGCTGTCCCCAAACCCTCCCTGAGCAGCTCAGCCAGCACACAGCCACAGCCAGGCTCCCTCAGCTGCCCATTCCCACTGGAATCCCTCCTGTTTCTGGGCAACCAGCCCACCCCAGGGCCCGCAGCCCCCCGTGCCCTGCAGTCCCAGAGCTCTCACCATGTTCCTCAGCAGCTCCGAGGCCTCCCTGGGGCTGCCCCTCAGCAGGCAGTCATAGACCAGGCTCAAACCTGTCTGCATGAACTCCTGCAGGCTCTCAGCAGGATGCTGCTGCCTTCTGAAGAAGATCTGGGCCTCTGGGATTTTGTTGCTAAGGATGGCCTCAGCAATGACTTCCTAAAGACAAAAACATGGGACAAACTACATCATCCCTGTGCTGATTTTCTTCCCCAGTGCTTTCAGGTATTTCCACATAAATGATCTCCTCATATAAAGTTGATCACAGTAGCAAAAACTGGCTTGCTGATTTTCACCTCTGGTGTCATTTTTTCCCATTTTTGGCTCTCTTCTATCTCAGGCAGGTCCTCATCCAGCTCAGCTCCCGTGGGCCCTGGGGTCACCACTGGGTGAGGGTATCTCCTCAGGAATTTCCTCAGTCTGATGATGTAATCAGTTAAAATATCTGCAGCCTTCTGCAGGAACTCGTCAGGTTCTGCCAAAAGCATCCAGGAGATCAGTTAAATGGGAATGAACAGACAGGATTTTAATGTTTGGCAATGCTGAATTAATAAATGTGCTGATTATGACTAATAAACAGACACCCCTCAGAGGGAAGAGCACATCAGCTCTGCCCCTGTGCAGGCAGTGAGAGCCCAGCACCCTGTCAGGACACAGCCACAACCCCACAGAGCTCCCTGCCCTCACTGAGGGGTTTTCCTGCTCAGGGACCAGTAAAGGAGAACTGAAATTTTGTATTATTCCCACCAATTCTTAGTCAGGTAAACCCAATCTAAAACACAGGGATGAACATCTTTCACTCACTTAATTCTAGTATTTTTTTTCTGTTAATTCCAGGCAAATCTAAGCTTTTAATTAAAAGAATTAGCAGTTCTTACTGAAATGATGACACATCACTAGATATGAGCCAGCAGAGTGATCTTACCCTCTGTGTGCACAAAGATTTCCTCCAGCTGCCTGGTGAGGAAAGTCAGGGTGAGGTTCAGGAGCTGCTCAGAGAAGGGCTTGCTGTGAGGCTCCATGTCATTGTCTTGGATTGCTGAGCAGAGCAAGTTTAGAGCTGGCCTGAGCTCCTCCAAATCTGCAAGGGTTCCAGAAACAGCTCACACATCTGCATCCTGCACTGAGCCACGGGGAGAGAGGGATGGAATAAACCCCTGGGCAGCTGAGGTTCTTCACTCACTTCTCAGGTAAGACTGGGAGGCAGCACCCCCAGGGTGCTCAGGCCCAGGGCAGGCTGCAGACAGACTGAAACCACTTTCTTTGCTTTTTAAAAACAAGTCCACTGTGTCCAGCTGGCGATTCTCCAAGCCTGCCTGGACAAAGAGAAACAGAACAATTAAGCACGGATTTCCACCCAAACACCGTGGGATTCTTCCTCCATCCTCAGTGACACACACAGAAAACCAGAGGGGATTTAACTCTGTGTGCAGCACCTGCAGCCTGGAGTGACAAGGTGAGCTGCACACAGCCTGCCAGGCTCCTCTGCCAGGCTCTGCTCCAGCCCTGCCCTGGATCTTCACACACAAAATGTTATTGCAGCAATATGAAGTAAATACTGTGAGAATCAGGACTCTGAATAGGCTTACAGCAATTTTATAAGAACAGCACAATAAACACAGAAATCTAGTTCCAAGGATTTCATATTTTACATTTTGCAAGCGGACAAAAACTGCTGCAGAAACTGGCAAAATTCTTTTGGGTCCAATTAAGAGGGAATTTTGAGCACTGCTTTGTTCTCTTTATTTTATTAATGTGCATTCACTTTGCTGCTGTACTTCTTCCTTTGGGTTACTCATCTGCTTGGGGTTTTACTGTTTATTCAATAACTAAACCACATCCTTTTGCCCCTAGGTTTGAGGCACACTTTTAATCGTGTCTAAACCCACACTGGCATTGCTAAACTGCATTCAATGCTTGAAAAAGAGCGTTTGTTATTTGCAAGGCCTGAGGCAGCTCTCCTCACCTCGAGGGCATGGATGGGAATGGAGCACCTCTCCCACCCATTGAGGTGGCACAGGGAATCCACCACTGCAGCGCTGCCAAACATCATCAGCCTGGTCAGGAACTCCTCCTGAGTGACCCCAAACAGGACCAGGGACAGACCACGCTCTGAACGACACAACCAAGCCATTATTAAAGACAGAGCAGCCACGGTTTGGGCAGCAGCATTTCTACCCACTGCTGCTTCCAGAGGAGAGGGGCAAAGCTGCAGCGGCTCCGTTTGGATCCCCCCAGGCAGGAATGCAATGAAGCTCCCCACCAGCAGCCAGGTAAAACACTGGAAACCCCTAAAGCAGCTGTCCCAGGACAGCTGATGAGCCCTCACCTGTCAGCAGCAGACACAGTGGCAGCTCTGCACTGCTCTCCACGTAGACACTGCTCCTGCCAAAGTGGGAACACCTCACGTCCTGGGACTCAAAATCCCAGAGCGCCAGAGACAGCCCCGTGCCCTGTGCCTGCAGCACAAACACAGCCTTAGCTCCAGTCACCAGTTTGCACTCCAGTTTCACCACCTCCTGGGCTGCTCCCACGGGGATTTGTGCCCACTGCTGTCCTGCAGCCCCGGGCTGGCCTTGGAGGGCTGGGGAAGCTGCCCACGTCACAGCCCGGGGGACAAAGGCCACCATCCTCTCTGGATCCTCACAGACTTCAGGATCGTGATCTTCAAGATGGGTCAAGAACTGATACCAAGGCAAATTCAAGTCGTTCACCAAACCTGGAGAGCCTGGTGTTCTCCTTCCCCTCACTCTGTCCCACAGTGAGGACAGGTGTGCCTTCCAGGACCTGCCGAGGGGACAGAGTCACCTGTAACACCAGGCATTACCTCACGAACAAGGCAGGTAAAGCTCTCTCAGTTAAATAAAATGCACTTAGAGCTCATAAAATCCATCCAGCATCCTGCATTTTAACCCTACCATGGCCTCTTTATTTGCATTTAAATACTCCCTGCAGCCAAGCTGAGCGACCACAGCTGGATCAGCTGACAACATCCATGCTCAGCAATTTTAGTGAAAAGTTTTCTTTTCCTCACAGAAAATGCCAATTAAAAGACAGCAGAACAGACAGTTATGGATAGCTATATATAAATTATAGTTATAGATGGTTATATATAAACGTTCTACTATTTTTAATTGATAACAAGTAGTTATCAATTAAAAAACTGTAGAACAGAAGTAACTCCAGAGCTGAACCTTTCTCATCTATACACCAAGCTCTAACTGGCATGCTCCATTAGCACCAATGCTCTAAGACTCAGAGTAACCCCCAAGCAGCAATTCCTTTTGGAAGCTGTCCAGTGCCACACCTAAAGCTGTCTTGGTCCACCCCAAACCCGAAACATCTACAGCAGAATGGCTGACTTTACCTGCCACAGCTACAACTGAAAAAGCAGATCAGCAGTTTATTATCATGCTCCCAAGGAGGCAAAGGCCAGCCCGTGCAGGAGGCTCTCCCTCCTGTACCTGTCTGTGCGGAAAGGTGCTGACAGGAGCTCCATGCTGTGCTCAGAACTGGCCAGCTCATCCTCGTCCAGTCCCTCTGGAGGCTTCACTGCAAGATTTTCAGGATCTCTCTTACAGAGCAAATGTTCAGGGAATTGTCTGTAAAGAAATAAATATGAAATTTCACCTTGCTCTGATGATTTAAGATGGTTTTTTTCATGTTTAACTCCTCCAGGAGCTCCGGGTGCAGTTTTCTCTCAGGGTAACAGGTGAGACATCAAAACCTGATGCTCCTTCCTTTGAGGTGGACAACACCTCTTAATTACCACCTGGCCCTAATTCATCAAGCTAAATCAGCACAGCTGCACCAGTACAGTTTGATCATTCCACACCCCACAGAATTTCTAAAAGGTTCTACCACCCACCCCTGGCACTGAGAGCACCTCATCTTCCTGGCAGAAATGTGAAAGGCAAGAAAAGGTTTACCTGCTCGTTAACAGGCAGATTTAAATGAAGAGCTGTTATACATACAGTTTCCTTTTTGACAGAGAATACATTAAAGCAAGCAATGCAAGGACAATCTTTAAACAGAGAGGGAATCTCTGCTCGAGCACAGAAGTCAGAGTGAGAAGCTGCCAGCACCCTGGTGAGGACAGGCCCAGAATTCAGGAGCTGGGAGGGTCAGGGCAGCCCAAAGGCTCCCCTGGGAGCTGTACCTGAAGTAGGTGTTGAGCTGCACAGCCAGGGCACGCTGGCAGCTGCTGGTCACCACGGCCGTGCTGAGGTCAGGGGACACTGCCAGGGCAGCCAGGGGGGACACAGGGCCCTGGGCAGCTCCCAGGGCTACAGCCACCTTCCCCAGGGTGGCTCCATCACAGCAGTCAAATATGTCTGCAAACAGCATCAAGGAAAAGCCCAGACAGAGCAGTTACACACCAGGGGAAGGTGCTGAGCTTTGGCTCCAGGAGGAGGGAAAGGCAAGCTGACTTTACTGTGCTTTAATGTGCCAGAGGAGATGGCCAGGGACAGGGTGAAGGCAGCAGCTGGTGGAGCTGACAGGCCTGAGCCCCTGCTCATCCCAGCACAAACCTGCCTCCCAGGCTCCCTGTGAGCCTGCAGATCATTTCTGCTTTAATTTAGCCATGAGGTGACAGTAGAAGTTCTACACAGACCCATGAATCAAACCCCTCCATGGAACCCATAAACCCAGATGTGCACTGGGAAACCCTGCACACACAGCTGTGGCACTTCTCTACAACAGCCAGGATTTGGCTGCACAACCTTCTCTGCAGGCACCACTTCAGTGTCTGTAAAGAAATTTCTGCTCAGCCCTGAGAGCAGAGAAAGGCAATTTGCTCTTGCAGATGATTTTTCCCAATCTCTCCTGCAAAGGATACAAATCCAGCCAGCACTGTCCAACAGGAACAGGATCCCCCTGCAGAACTGGGAGTCTGCAATCCTGCCCACAGCTCCTGGAGGCAGAGCCAGGGGGAAGCAGCCACAGGTCTCTGGGGGTGAGTCCTCCCCAGGAAAGGTCAGGTGCACAAGGACAGACTGGTTGAGCAGAAGTTTGCACTTGTTGTTTCCAAAAGACAAAATCTTCACAGAGGAAATTGAAGGCAGACCTGTAAATTTAAAGATATTTAAATTTCAGATTACAGCCAGCTGGGACTTTTGATTTGTAAAGGAATCCCAGCAGGAGCAGCAGAACCAGAGCTGCAATATTTCACAGGTGTAACACACTGAAATTTACTCACTTATGTTTTTGGCTTCAAGGAGCTTTTTAAGTGTCTCTGCCTCACAACTGTGCAGGGAACTCGGGTTGTGTTTTCCATCCTCTACGCTGAATTCATAGACAAACAGGTCATGGCTTTGAGCAAGAGCCAGGAGCTTTGTCTCGCTGGATTGTGAACCATCATCTTCTGAGCTGTCCCACGCGAAGCTGAAGGTGAAACATTCAGGAAGGTTATGGCTTTATTCCCTCTGCCCACCCCACTCTGGATGTGCCCTGACTGGGGACACCACCTCCACTTCAGAGTGAAACCCCTGCTCCACCCCAGCACTGAACTGCTTCATCCCCGGCAGGACAAGCCTGAGGAACTCCTCCTCCTCCTCCTCTGCAGGACAAAGGGGCTCCATCCCCTGCGTTTTCCACTCTGGCCACCCAGGACACCAGGGATGCTCTGCTTCAGGAGAACACCAGCACCAGGGAGAGCAGAGCACGCTGCCCATTTCCAGACTTTTCCCTGGTTTTTGGGCCGAGAACCTCTCTGGGTGTGTCACACCTGCTCCGTGGTGCTGGGGAGGGGACAGACAGCGACCAGCTCAGCACGGGGCAGGGCAAACCAGAGAGCAGAGCCCTGTGACAATGCTGGAACACCCCGGGCCAGGCTGGACACGGGGCCGGGAGCACGGCACGGGGCAGGGCAAACCAGAGAGCAGAGCCCTGTGACAATGCTGGAACACTGCCCACCCCTGGAACAACCCGGACACGGGGCCGGGAGCACCCCGGGACAGCGGCAGTGTCCCTGCCACGGCCGGGGTGGCACTGGGTGGCATTAAGGTCGCTGGAAGCCGAAGCAGCTGGGGACTGTGTGTGACACAGAATGTGCGGCTGGTGCTGCAAGGCTCAGGGATCAGGCGTGCTTTTGGCTCAGCACGGCAGCTGCCAAAGCAGATGCTGAAGGCACCACGAGGTAAAGCCACCAGGAGTTAAAGCCACCACGAGTTAAAGCCAACACGAGGTAAAGCCACCAGGAGTTAAAGCCACCATGTGACCGCCGAGCGTCACCCGGGCGCAGCACTCAGGGCACGGGGGCGCGAAGCCAACAGCCCGACAGACAAACCCTCCCTGTCTGCCCTGGGCTCAGCTGCCGTGGGCACACCCGGCCGGACGGACAGACAGACACGGCCCGGCCGGACGGACAGACAGACACAACCTGGCCGGACGGACAGACAGACAGACAGAACCTGGCCGGATGGACAGACAGACAGAACCTGGCCGGACGGACAGACAGACAGAACCCGGCCGGATGGACAGAGAGACGTGACCCGGACGGGCAGACACGGCCCGGCCGGACAGACGGACAGACACAACCTGGCCGGACAGACAGACACGGCCCGGCCGGACGGACAGACAGACACAACCTGGCCAGGCGGACACACACGGCCCGGCCGGACAGACAGACGTGACCCGGACGGGCAGACACGGCCCGGCCGGACAGACAGCCAGAACCTGGCCGGACGGACAGACGCCGCCCGGCGGGGCAGACAGACAGACACCACCCGGCCGGGCGGACAGACACGGCCCGGCCGGACAGACGGACAGACACCACCCGGCCGGACGGACAGACACCACCCGGCCGGACAGACAGACAGACACCACCCGGCCCCGCCGCGGCTCCGGAGCGCTCCCGTTGCGGCCCGGCAGCCCCGCCCGGCCCGGCCCGGCCCGGCCCGCACTCACTCGGCCCAGGCTCCCGGCAGGACGCTGCCCCGGGCCCGCCCGGCCCCGCCCGGCCCCAGCGACTCCAGGCGGATGGCTCCGGCCGGCAGCACGGTGCCCAGGGCGTGCCGGGCTCGGCTCAGCCGCGCCCGCGCCGCGTCCCGCGGCTGCCCCGAGCGGGGCACCAGGAGCACACGCAGCTCCGGCCGCGCCCCGGCCGCCGCCATCCTCCTGCCCGGCCTCAGCGCCCGCCCCGCGCCGCCGCCATCCCGACGGGGCCGCCCCTCGTTCCGGTCAGCTGGGCGCCGCCGGGCCGCGACTACAACTCCCAGCACGCACCGCGCGCAGCAATGCGCGCCGGGAGATGTAGTCCCCCCGGCCCGCCGCTTGAGCAGAGTTTCCTTTAAGTAGAATTCTCTGTGTGTTTTCTCTGATTTCTGTTGCAGATGGATCCCCATGGTATTTCTGTGTCCCCGCTCTGGGGCAGCGGCTGTCCCGGGGGCCCCTCAGTGTCCCCACTCTCTGTCCCGGGGGTCCCTCTACGTCCCGGGACTGTTCCGGGGATCTCTCCGCGTCCCCAGTCGCTGTCTCGGGGTCTCTCCGTGTCCCCCCGTGTCCCCTCTCTGTGTCCCCGGCTCTCTCCGTGTCCCCTCTCCGTGTCCCGGGGGTCTCCATGTGTCCCCGTGTCCCCTCTCCGGCCGCGGCTCCGCGGGGTCCCACCGCGGAGGCGGAGAGGCCACGCCCCCACATGGGCGTTGTTCCCGGTATCTCCTCTCCCATTGGCCCTCCTCGGCCCCGCCCCCTGTCGCCATTGGCCGGCGGCGGCCCCGCCCAGGCGGAAGCGCCGCGGCCCGCGGGCCGATGGCGGAGCGCGGCCATGGCGCTGGCGCTGGCGCTGCTGTGGCAGGCGCTGGGCCGGGTGTGGCGGAGCCCCGCCGGTAGCGCCCGCCATGCGCCCCCGAGCCGCGCCATGGAGCACGACAGGGCCCTCGAGGTCTACGGTGACTGCCGGAGGGCGCGGCGGGGGGGCCGTGCGGGGAGCCCCGGGCGTGGTCCCGCTTTGCCCTTGGGGGCTGAGGGGGAACGCGCGCGGCCCTGAGGGGCTCGGGGCGCTGAGGGGCCCGAGGGGCTGGGGCAGCGAGGGAGGGCCCGTTTGGCTCCTTGGGATCGCTTGTGGCTTCCAAGGAGAGCAGCACGAGCAGTGCGGGGAAGGGGTGCTGGTGAAAATGCCTTTTTGTGAGAGCCGGGAGGGTCCCTCACCGTGCTCGCTTGTGTCAGATATCATCCGGACTATCCGGGACCCGGAGAAGCCAAACACTTTGGAGGAACTGGAAGTGGTGACAGAAAACTGCGTGGAGGTGCAGGAGATAGGGGAGGATGAATATCTGGTCGTCATCAGGTTTACACCAACAGTACCTCATTGCTCCTTGGCCACTCTCATCGGTGAGATCCTGTTAATTGCATCACTAACAAAGAGCTCGGCTCCCGGGGGGCTGCCAGCAGGCCCAGGGCACCTTCAGCCTTGCCTGGATGTGTGGGTTTGATCAGGAATTGCAGCTTGAGAGCCCAACCACCAGTGCAACCGAACCAGAAAGTGAGCAAAAAAAAAAAAAAACCCAAATCCAGAGAAATGGGGACGCCCATGTGTTTGGCATGTTAGGGAATCTCTTCAAGAGAACTTCTGAAAACTCTGCTGGGAAGTGGTACAGAGTTCTTTGTTTGCATTCTCCAAGTTACTTCATTGATGTTATTAATTGCCAATTTGTCAGCTCTTAAATTAAAAAAGAAAAAGAAAAAAAAAGCTTTCTGCTTGTCCCCTTTCCCTCTGGCAGGTGCTGCTCAGAGTACAAAGGGTTACACTGGTTGTTAAGCATGGATTCTGTGAAAATGCTCCTCAGACCTTCAGTTTTACAGGGAAATCTCTTTTGTGTTCTCTTTTAACAGGCCTTTGTTTAAGAATAAAACTTCAGAGATGTTTGCCTTTTAGACACAAGGTAAAGTGCCTGGTTTGGAGCCTGTTTGAAATTCCATGAATGAATGGCAGCCTCCCTAAATTCAACACAGAGATTCACAGACCTTTAGAGACTTGACCACAGTAATTTAAAGAGCACATTAATTACCTGGGGGTCGCTGCAGTTGGTTTTTGGGTGGTGGCTCCACGCTCCCAGCTGAGCTCTGCAAAGGGAGCTCTTGTCCCCTCCTGTGTGTGTGGGGACAGGGTTTTCCTGCCAGGAGGAAAGTGTTCCCCTGCCCTGCTGCCCCTAATTACACTGCTGATCTCTCCTGCAGCTGGAAATCTACATTTCTGAGGGCACACATTCCACGGAGGAGGACAGTGAGTAGAGCCTGTGCATGCATGGCTTCAGCCTCTTGTGCTCTGTCCTCTGCTCCCCTGCCTTCCCAGAAACTAATCCCCTGAAAACCTCAAATCAGAGCCTGGACACCCAGTGGCATCAGGGTGTTCCCAGGGCTGTGCTGGCTCTGTGACCACTGCTGCTTGCTAGTTTGGTTTTATAACCAAACCCCCCCCAGTTCTGGCAGGTGTTGGTAACAAAACTGAGTAACTGACGTGAGGAGCTGCCTCAGCTGTTGGTCCTGCTGTCCTGAACTCCCCACTGCAAATCTGGACGTTTCTCAGGCAGGTTTTGCAGGAAAGCTGGCATGTTGTGCCCAGCCAGAGCCAGGCCCTGTCCCAGCAGTGCCAGAAATGGGATATTGTGCCTGCCAGAAATGGGATATTGTGCCTGCCAGAAATGGGATATTGTGCCTGCCAGAAATGGGATATTGTGGCTAAAGAGCTGCAAACTGAACCTGGGCCACTCATGTACCCTGAATTTCACTCTTGATTTTGGGACACGCCACTGGAACACCTCACACCCTTTTCCTGAGCTGCAAAAGTGAATTCTTCTTATTGTAATTATTATAATTATTGCTTTGTTGTGACTGCGCTTGCAGCTGCCTCGCTCCCCACTTCCCAGCAATGCCCCTGGAAATGTCCCTTCCTGCTGAGCCCCCTGTGTCCCTGAGCCCTGTCCTGGGTGTTTTGCAGTCAACAAGCAGATCAATGACAAGGAGAGGGTGGCAGCAGCCATGGAGAACCCCAACCTGCGTGAGATCGTGGAGCAGTGCGTGACTGAGCCCGACTAGGGACCCCAGCCTGGGACAGCCCTGCTGCCAGCCCAGCCAACCACAACCAGCAAGGCCTTGGGGTTAATACTTGAGTTGTTTTTACCTTCCATGTGTTTTTTTTTTTTTAAAGAGAAATTGTTTATAAGATAGATTTTAAATTATGAGGAATCAGTCTCTAAAGAAAGCCCGGTGTGTAGTGCTGGAAGTTTGTAATTTTTGGTGTCCAGAGGAATATTTTGTGATTCAGAGCAACACATCTGCATTGCCTTCTGAGAGACGTTGTGATACAAATTCAGTTTTGCAAGTTGAATTTCTACATTGTTTCAATCACTGCACTGTAAAAATAAAACAGATTCTTGTACTGAAGTGTTGCTTTCTGGGTCCTGAATTCGTTTTGGTTTTTATTTAAGGATCAAGTTTAGATTTCTATTACAGAAATTAATTTCATTCACCTTCTTCGGTGTTGATAAACATTAAAGCTGAAACTAAGTCAGAAGAAGAATTTGGAGCTGAGGGACTGGACTAGAACAAGGAGATTTTTACTGGGACACAATTCCTGCTAAATGCTCGTGCTCTGTTAATGTCACACACTTCTGATTCTGGAAGCTTTGCTTTCTAACCACCCTGAGGCTGAAGCTTCCCTGTGGATGAGAACTTGATCCTGCTTTTCCTGAGTTGCCTGCAGTGTGTGACAGCATCCCCCAGCCCCTCCTGCTCCATGTGTTTGTCCTGCTCCTGTCACTGCTCCTGTCACCTGGAGCATCCCTGACGTTTCCAGCTGCCCACCTTTCCCACTGGGCCATTCCCCGGCTCCTTCCAGCAGCTCTGCATCTCAGCATGGATTCACCTTTCCCTGGGGATCAGGGGGTTCCTCCTGCTCCTCCTGCCAGGTGTCCAGGATCTGCAGCCGTGGCTGCTGAGGGGTTTGGGGAGCTGCTCCTCCCTGGAGCGCTCCCTGGCTTGTGGCTGTTCCACAGTGACAGATCCTCGGGGCATGGTGCAGACATCTCTGGGGATTTCAGGGGTTTGTGGCCCTTTTAATCAACCCCATAAAGCTTCCCTGAATGGATTCAGCGTTATAAACAGGGAATGTTCCCCTTGGCAAACCAGCGAACTGCTCCGTGGCACTGCAAGGCCCCTCCCCTCAAGTGCCAAACCAGCTGAAAAAATTAATTAAAGGCAAAGGAGAACAATCCCCTTTTTTCCACAGGCTCGTGCAGGTGTGAAAAAAAAAAAAAAACAAAAAACCAAACCACTTCTCAACTCCAGTTTCTCAGCTTCAATTAAACAAAAAATTAATTAAAGGCAAAGGAGAACAATCCCCTTTTTTCCACAGGCTCGTGCAGGTGTGAAAAAAAACCCACTTCTCAACTCCAGTTTCTCAGTTCAATTAAATTTCAGTTGCATTTCAAACTCCTTTGTAGCCTCACGTGCCAGCACAGGGGACACGTCCCGTGTCCCACCCCACGCAGTTGCATTTCAAACTCCTTTGTAGCCCCATGGCCAGATGTGTCTCACGTGCCAGGACAGGGGACACGTCCTGTGTCCCACCCCACTGCTGGGAAGGGCCCGGGCAGGTCACTCCTTCAGGAATGCACCAAATGCTCCAGGAGCCTCAGCTGCCATTATCTGCTGGCTTCTTTCCTGGAATTTGTTGGGGGTTTTTTACCCTCCAGCAGGGGGGTTGATGTTTTCTTTTCAGAGTGCAGATATCTCTGCCAGCACGGAGGCTCTGTGCATCCTGGGGCCATGAGATAGCAGCTGCTCTCCCTGGGTGGGCTCCCGGGGGCTCTGGGTGCCCCTCACAGCTCGGTGCCACCACCCAAACCGCACTCCCAGCTCTGACAAAAGCTCAGGGGACGGGCGATGGGATGCTCTGGTGACAATGAGGTGACTCTCCTGGTTCCCGCAGTGCCCTTTGGTCCTTAGCCCTGAGGGATTTGTGCTGGGGCACAAAAGGTTAAAAGTTCTTCTCCGGAGCAACAATTTGGGAAAATGGGCGCGATCCCAAGCCCAGGTCTCTGGAACAGGAATGTTCCCAGCTCCTCGGGCAGTGGAGCATGGCTGGAGCTCTGGGAGTGAATCCCGGTGTGCTGCACCCCCAGCCTTTCCAGCTTAACCGGGCTCGGGGTCTCTGCTGCACCCCCAGCCTTTCCAGCTTAACCGGGCTCGGGGTCTCTGCTGCACCCCCAGCCTTTCCAGTTTAACCGGGCTCGGGGTCTCCGTCCATCCCCGCCGCTGTGCCCCACGGAGCGGGCGGGCAGGGGCTTTGCTGCCATCGGCCTTTGGGGACACTGAGGTGACAGAGGAACAGCCAGCGAGCAGGACACGAGGAGGGGACGGGGACAGCTCCAGGGGGATCCCACCGGGCAGGGAACTCGGGCTGTTCCTCCAAACCCGGGAGCAAAAAGTCCTAAAACTGCTCCTTCGGATTATGAATCCTTTGCATTTACAGCGCAGAGGGACAACTGCAGAGGGCACCAGCGACCCACGGCACCGCCGTGCCGGGAGGAGCCTCCCGGGGACCCGCCGTGCTCCGGGGCCAGCCCGGGGACCCTCCCTGCTCCGGGGCCAGCCCGGGGACCCCTCCCGGGGACCCTCCCTGCTCCGGGGCCAGCCCGGGGACCCTCCCGGGGACCCTCCCGGCTCCGGGGCCAGCCCGGGGACCCTCCCGGCTCCGGGGACCCCCGGCTGCCCCGTGCCCCTCACCAGCAGCAGCCCCCGGGGTTCGCTGCAGGATCTGCGGACGAGCTGGAAGCGGAGGAGCGGACGGGGCAGGGGTTGAGCTGAGCTGAGCTGAGCAGGCTCTGCCCTTTCCCTGCTGTTTCCCGGCGTGGATCACGGAATCTCTGAGGTGAAGGGGCCGGGCTGTGTGCAGGTACCCCGGCAGGAGGCTGCGCTCCGGGGGTCACCGCTCTGCAGGGGCTCAGAGCAGCAGGGAGCTCAGCAAACCCCCAAAACCCAGAGCTGGGGAGCTCAGCCAGGGCACCCTCAGGCAGGGGGGAGCACCCCGAGCCCAGGCTGAGCTCCTGGCCTGGCTCAAACCTCAGCCCGGCAGAGACATTCCCATCTCTGTTCCCCCCAGGCAGTGCCAGCGCCACCCTGCTGTCCCTTTGCCCCGACACTCCGAGCGATTTCCAGCAGCCCCTGGATTCCCGCTGGCGTTTCCAGGGCTGATATCCCGTTCCATCCCGGACCTCCCGGAGGAGGAGGAGGAGGGCCGGGGGCTGCTCCCCTGCCCCCAGGGCCGTGCAGAGGGCTCGAGTTTGCACACACTTCGCTCGGGGTGTAGCTGGCACTCACCGCAGATGGCAGCGGAGCAGTCGCGCGTAGGGACAGAGCTGTTTCTATCGGGTATTCCTAAATGCTTACACCCGGCTGAGCCTTCCCTCGGCCGGGCCGGGGCTGTGGGTTGGTGGCAGCCCTGCCCTCCCGCAGCAGCACATGCGGAGCGGCTTCACTGCATTTCCCAGGCAGGCGGCTGCTGCGGGTGAGCGAACACACCGTGCCCTGGTGCCAGCTGGGGAGGGGGCAGCTCCTTTCCCTCCTGCCCTTTTCCGTGCTTTACTTCCCACAGGAATGTCCCTGTGCCACGGGCAGCCCCGGGATGAGCTGCTGCAGCACCCCGAGGTGGGTGGGTGGGTGAGGGCTGTTCCCTCCCGGAGCAGCTGGCAGCGATCAGCTGCCAATTAAAATCCAAACAAAAAGATAAACCCGTGACATTTTTCAAATCCTTCCCTTGCTGTGCTGGCTTTGCTGCCCCTCTGTGCTGTGCCTGTGAGGCCTTTCTGTGCAGCACAAGGAGGTTTTAAGAACAAGAGGAAATAAACCCATTTCTCATTATTGGACAGGCAGGAGCTGAGCTGCTCCTGCTCCCTCTGGCTTTGCTGCCTCCTCGCCTGCCCAGGTTGGGACCGTGCTCCTCCCAGTCCATGCTGAAGGACTGGTGACCCTAAAACCCTCCAGCTGAGGTCATCTGGGCTGGACAGAGGCGTTTGGTGAGCTCTGAATCTGTGACCACAGGTGCTCTGCCAGGAGAGCCGGCAGCTCCCGGGGCTGTGGAAGCACTTGGAGGGTTCCCGAGGGTCTGAGACACAAACAAGCTCCTCCAGCAGCAGCTGCTGCTGCTTCCCACCCAACGAGCTCCTCTTCCTTCCTGTCTCCAGCGTGGAAATGTCTGGAGGTGACCAAGGCAGGCACAAAGGTCTGACTTCTGATCTGAAGCCAAAAGGCTCTCTCAGAGAGTCTTCCAGCAGATCATGGAATCACAGGGTGCTTTGGCTGGGAAGGGATCTGAAAGCCCATCCAGCCCCAGCCCGTGGCAGGGGGAGGAACTGGATGGGCTTTCAGGTCCCTTCCCATCCAAACCATTCCACGATCCGATTTCAAACATCTTTTGATCCACGAGCCCTTTCCTCCTTGCGCCCCACTGCAGCAGCTGTGTCTGAATAACATCCTGCTTGTGCTGAGACAATGAAAGCGCCTTTAGAAGAAGAAAAAAGGCATTTCTACATCCCATCCAAGCCTGCCCTCTGTCAGTGGGAAGCCGTTCCCCCTCCTCCTGTCACACCAGGCCCTTGTGAAGAGCCTCTTTCCAGAGACACTCACTGGAGGTGTCTCACTGAATGAAAATATTGCAGATATTTCAGCCAGATGTGTTTTATTGTCACTGATAATGCAGTTTCTGTGCTGGTGGGAGGCCTGGCTTGTTACGTGGCTAGAAATGGCCTGGTGTCCCACAGGAGGGATTATCCTGTGCCCCCAGCCAGCCACAGCTGGGACCCTGCACGAGGGGCTCACCAGATCCCGGGCCTCAAAGAAATAGATGTGCAGAACTGATTTACCCCATCAGCCCGGCTCATGTTTTAATCAACAAATCCCAGTTGCAAAGGGCAGCTGTGAATGATTTTCAGATGCAAACTGATCGTTCCTTCCTGCTGCCAGTGCCTGGACCATCTCCAATTAGCTGAAAACGTTCGGAATTCCCCACGGGGAGGAGAAAATGTGAAACCCACCTGTTTCCTTCAGTAACTGTTTAATTTAACACACTCGGTGAGCTGTGGCCCAACAGAAGGGTTGTCCCTTTGCAATCCTGGGAGGGTGACGGGGTGTGGGACAGATGGTGCTGGGGACAAGGAAACCAGGACTGGACACAGGTTCTTGGACCATAAAAACTTTACACCACCTTGGAACGGAATAAAGCACAAATGGTGAGGTCATGGCTTGTGTTTTGCATACAAATCACACACAGGAATTTGGGCTGAGTGCTGCCCAGGGAGCTGCACCTGGAGCTCTGCAGCCCGGGATGGGCTCCAGCCTGACCCTGCCCATGCAGGGAGGATTGCCCTTCAAGGTCCCCCAGGTTTTGGGCACCCTCCACAGCCTGAAGAGTAATAGGGAAAGGAATTCCTACCTAAATGCTCCTGCCCTCCTCCAGAGACCGAGGTGGCAGGAATCCCTCCCTGAGAGAGGGAGGGATTTGTTCCCACACCGCTCTGGGAGCAGGCAGTAGGGGCTGTGCCTCAGAGTAAATTGGATATTCTAGTTAAAAATCAGCTAACCTTAACAGAGGAGAATCTAGATAAGCAGGGGAAAAAGGGTTCAGCCTGTAAGGCCGCAGAAAAAAAACACCTTAACCAAGCATTACACTGCTACACTTAGAGAAATCCAGGGACTGAGCACCTGGCTGCCCACGAGGGAGGGGATGTGCCACTCTCCTGCCCAAATGCATGCAAGGGAATGCCCTGGTGGACTCCAAACCTCGGTGTCCCCAGTGATGCCCTCTGCTCCAGAGGGACACAAAAATGGCTTTGGCAGAGGAAGCCAGCAATGGGGAGACAGAGCCCTGCACAGCCCCAGCTGAAGCTGAAACTTTATTCCTCTGCCCTGCCTCCACTTCTTAAATTAAATCTATTTAGCTTCAGTGCGTAAACATTTTAATGAAAATTACAGGAGTGGGTTGCCAGCTTCAAGTCCTTAAAGGCAAAAAAAAAAAAAAATCCTACCCCAAAGGGTCGGCAGAGCCGGTGGAATGCTGGATGCTCACCTCAGAGATATAAAAATAACAATAAAAATCAAGGTTCGTGCTGGCCAGCCAACACCTTCGAGAGGCTGCAAATGTCAAATGATAGCACCATACGCATTTCAGAGAGGTCTTCCCCGAATTATTGCTGCTTTCATTCCCCCTCCCTCTGCCTCCTGCAGGGTGCCCCGGCAGCATCCCCCGGGGTGTCGGTGGGAGCAGCGGGACCCCCCGGCCCGGCCGTGCTGTGAGCACCGTGTGAGAGTAGCACGAGTTACCGAGCCCGGCAGGGCCGGCAGCGGGGGGACAGCGCTGCCACCCGGGGGTCCTGGCAGCAGGGGGACAGCGCTGTCACCCGGGTCCGGCAGCGGGGGGACAGCGCTGTCACCCACGGGTCGTGCAGCCTGGGGACAGCGCTGTCACCCGGGTCCGGCAGCCTGGACAGGCTGTCACCCGGGGTCCCGGCAGCCTGGGGACAGTGCTGTCACCCACGGGTCGTGCAGCCTGGGGACAGCGCTGTCACCCGGGTCCGGCAGCCTGGACAGGCTGTCACCCGGGGTCCCGGCAGCCTGGGGACAGTGCTGTCACCCACGGGTCGTGCAGCCTGGGGACAGCGCTGTCACCCGGGGGTCCGGCAGCCTGGACAGGCTGTCACCCGGGTCCGGCAGCCTGGGGACAGCGCTGTCACCCGGGTCCCGGCAGCCTGGACAGGCTGTCACCTGCGGGCCAGGCGCTGGTGGCCGCGGGCGGGCAGCTGGCCGGGCTGGCGGCAGCTCCGGCAGCACTGGGCTCGCACGGTGGGCAGCGGGCACCGGCCCAGCAGCCGCAGCGTCTGGCAGAAGGCGAAGGTCAGGCGGTCGCGCTCGCAGGGGACACCTGGAGGGGAAGCAGGAGCACAGGAGTGTCACAGACGTGTTTATGGAAAATCCTTTCGGCAGGATCTTTTCTCCTGAGAAGCTTCAGCCTCTCCATGTTTTGCTTCTTTGGAGAATTGTTTACCCAGCGTGTGAAATTGTTTTGAGTTGATGACCAATGACAGCCACCTGTGTCGAGGCTGTGAGCAGTCACAAGATTTTGTTATTCATTCCTTCCTTTCCTTTCTAGCTGGATCCTCTCTATTCTTTTTAGTATAGTTTTAGCACGGCATTTTAATATAATATAATATCATAATAAATCAGCCTTCTGAAACAGAGTCCAGATTCTTGTCTCCTCCCTCGTGCTGGGACCCTCAAACACAACCACACAGGAGGGTGTCAGTGCCGGTGTCAGCACGGTCACCAGGTGTCCCGTGTGGAAATGAGATGCTGGTTAAGGTCCCTTCCAGCCCAAACCCATCCAGGGTTCTGTGGAAGCTGGCTGGGGACACGGACAGGGCTGCCCTGGGCAGAGCCCTCCTGCACCTGGGCACCTGGGCAGAAAGCAGAAAGCACCCCTGGGCTGCTGCCAGCAGCTCCAAAGCAGCTCCCCAGGGCACAGAGCTGAGGTGCAGGGGACAACCCCCACACAGTGTCCCCTCCTGCCAGCCCCCAGCCCCCCCAGTGCCAGCGGAAGGGCCAGAATTCCTTTTGCTCTGAATTGTTTTGGTTATTTTGAGGACCTGCATCATCTCGTTTGCTTCCTGCAGCTGTCCTGCAGCCCTCAAAACAACTCCGGGGCTGCTCTGAGGATGGGCTTTGTTTAGGGGATGGCTGCTCCACTGGCAGCCCAGGCCCACCTGGGCTCAGCCCAGCAGCACAGACCCATCCCCAAACACACACGGTTTATATGAACACAGAGCTGCTTTGTTTGAATTTTTGATTTCCTCTCTCTATCTCGGAGCAAGGCACGACTCGCTGAGCCTGCAGCTTCTCACCCAGTGGTGTCACTTAAATTACACCAACTCAAAACCGAGCCTAAGCTTAAAATCTAAGATTCTGTGATTCCAGTTTTACCTCCTGTACAAGGAATGAAAATAGGTGACAGCTTTTCTCTGGACAAGGGCAGAGCTGATGCACTCTGGGGCCAACCCCCCATTGCTTCTCCCTGGGACCAGGACCACGCAGAGCAGGGACAGAAATGGGGCAGGGAAATGGGATTTTCTCTTTCTCAGGACACTTCTCTGCAGGGACAACGCCGTGACCGAGCCAGGGGAGCTGTCACTGGCCACTGCCCTCGCCCTGTCCCCTCTGGAACGAGGGCTGTGCCGAGGGAACGCTGCTGCCCCGTTCCCAGGGGAGAGCCGGAGCGAGGGATGCGGCGGATGCAGAGCAGAGACTTCTCCCTGGTTTGGGATTTCAGCCACAGCCCCCTCCCCCAGCCCAGCAGCGAGGAGCTCACTACACTGCTCCAAAACTTATTTTCTCTTTCAGCTGAGGTGTTTCCTCCCTGCCTCCCCAGCTGCAGCTCTTTGTGCCCGGCCGGGGTGTCCCTGTGCCCCCAAAAAGCAATTTATCCCTGCACTGCTGGATCCACAGTGCTGACAGAGCGGGATGGAGGGATCCCAGCTTCACACCACACCTCAGCCTGCCTGCTGGGACACCAGCAGTGGGTTTTCCCTGCTGGGTGAGCAGAGCAGATGAGGAATCCCTGCCCAGCCCAGGCCAGGAGTGCAGCACATCCCAGACCTGCTGTGGGAGCACCAGAGCCACTGGAACAAGGGAAGTGCTTGTGGGTGCTGTGCTCCACGGGGCTGCCAGGATAATAATTCCCTGGGAGCATCCCTGCACAAGGCAGCCCCTGAAGCCCAGCCCTGCTGCACTGGGACGCTGGAGCACAGGAACACAGGCACTGCTGCAGGACAGGGGTGGCTCAGCAGGGCTCCTGAAGCACCTCAGGGCTGTCCCATGACAGTGGCAATCGGCCTGGATGCCCACGGAGGGCTGGGAATGTCCTGGGCCCTGCTGGGGGATGCCCAACCCCTCAGGACATCCAGCACTCGCAGCTTCCTAGAGAGTTGTTTATGGATCACAACCAAGCTGCCTCCTGCCTTCCTTGGAAAGAGCTGGGAGCTGCTCTCCAGTGATGGAGTGATGGTTCAGCCCCTTCCTGCTCCCTGCACCATGGCCAGCACCCCGAGCCCACCCTGCCAGGGGTCACAGCTCCCTGAACACCCCCCCAGCCACACAGCACGGGAGCACTGTGCACAACTGCAGGGATGGGATGGGCAACAGAGGCACCACCCTTGGCTGCAGGCTCTGCTGACCTTACAGGAGACCCCAGGGCTCCAAAGCCAAGTGACCTCATGGATCATAACACATCCAGCCTGGAAGGGACCCACAGGGATGATCCAGCCCGAGTCCTGGCCCCGCACAGGACACCCCCACAATCCCACCCCACGCCTGAGAGCGTTCCCAACGCTCCCTGAACTCAGGGAAGCCAGTGGGAGTCGTTGAGGGCTTCAGTTCCCATCACTTTCCCAGATCCTGCTGCAGTCTCAGGGTGGATGCATGCGGGGTCAGGATCAGGTCTGAAAATCTTGGCTGAGCTTGTGATTCCTCCCTGGAATTCGGTCTTGGGCAAGGGAAGCTGTAATAAGCACTTAATTTGTCAGCTCTTCAGAGAGGGACCTACAAACCCACCCAATTTTCATTGAATGCTGTTACTGCTATTTCTTTCTATTAACAATTTTTTATATAATCCTCGCACTTCATTTGGAAACACGTTCCATAAGTCCGTGCCAAATTTTAGGCTAAAGAAATAGCTTAAAGCAGGGCTTTAAAAATCCAGGCTAAGTCAGCACATTGGAGACTGAAAACCCCCACTTTTTTTTGGGCTGTTTTTTTAGGTCGGTGTGGAAGTCGCTTTAAATTTCATTTAAGCTTCTGCCAGCCAGACCTAAGCTTTTACTTTTATTCCTGGGAAAAACAAACTTCCTGGAACACGTTTTGTAAAAACAAGGAAAGGTTGAGCTTGGAGCTGAGCTAGCAAATCCAGGGAATTAGGCTGCTGACCTCTGGCCCTCGGGATGCTCTCGGAGCTGAATTTAACAAATAAATTATCCCAGAGTCCTGCTCTGGGGCTGAGGTGCCTCCTGTGGTGTCTGGTCAGCATGAGGGGATGGAGGGGATGGGATGGAGGGGATGGAGGGATGGAGGGGATGGAGGGAGGGGATGGATGGGATGGAGTGGGTCATCCCCACTGACACAGCCACAGCTGGGAAAACTGGGAGAAACCCCCAAACCCCACAGTTTTCAGGTGTCAGCCCTGCTGCAGGCAACATCTTTCCCCTACTTTTTATCAAAGCAGGGAGTCCTTTCTGGAGCATCCCTTTCCCACTGACTCCTGCTGTTAATTAGCAGTTAATTAATTGCTCTCCATGCCTCACTCAGCAGCACCTCCTGGCCCCACCACTTGGATAGGAACTTACACGCTCAAATGACAGAGAAAATTGGGATTTGCTGCAATTGTTTCCCACATGGATCCCTTGTGGGCGAACTCTGCGACTTGCAGAACCAGGAACAATTTCATTTCCCTGCTCAGAGCGAGCAGGAGCACCACGTTTAATTGCCAATTAATGGAAATACAGGCAGCCCTGGACAAGGAGCCAGCAAACAGGAGAGTGGGACAGTGATGGGACTGACCCCGTGTGAGCACAGCCTTCACTCCTTGGCCCCCAGGCACTGCTGCTCCCAGGACAGGGGCTGGGCTCCCCCCTGCTCCCAGAGGAGCTGCACCACTGGATACACACTTGTCCTTCAGCCAGTGGAGCCTGCACCTCATCCCTTTGGAATTTCAAGCTGAGACACCTGTGGAACAGCTGTGTTTGCTGCTGGAGCCAAGAACTGGCCCCATCACCTGCCTGGGGCAGATTTGGGGAGCTCAGAGACCTCCCTGGTATCAGATCTGGAGAAACAGGCACGAGGGAACTGATTCATTCCATGGCACGACCCTGATGAGCACCTGGGGCTGCCCTGCTCTGTCCTGGGCAGGGATGTGTCACCACCACCACCAGGATCTGCCGTGTCCAGCACGGCCACCACCCTGCAGTGGCCAGCCGAGTGACCAGCTCCATTCACCCCCTGATTCCTCCTCCAGTACACAGCAATTCCCACTTTTCTGGTTTAAATCTGTCTGATCTGCTGGATAAACTGCTGCAGGCTTCTCCAGGCCCCCACGCTGACCTGGTGAGGCTCAGCTCCTTTCCATGACACCATAAAAATTCCCAGATGAATGTCCCCAGCCCCTGGAGCATCCCAGGGAGGCACTGGGTGCCCACGGCTCTGAAGCTCCCAGGAGCCATCTAAGGACACCCTCACAGCTGGCTGCAGCTGTAAGGCAACAGCCACATTCAAAAATAACCTTGGTGGAATCTTCAATTAATTTATAAGCTGGCAACAGCTCAGGACTCTGGTTCTAATTAATCCCGACCTCCTTTAATTGAGGAGCCGACTGCTGTGAGATGTTTGTGCTTCATCTCTTCCATCTCTGCTCCAAATCCATCTGATTACGGTTTGAACATTTAAACCCTGCTGGGGTTATTGGCACTCTTGTGTCCAGTGAGGACATGACCACTCACAGAGCCAGCCTGGTTCTGCTGGTACAGGAGCACCTCGTGCCCGAGGAGGGAGAGGCTCCTGTGCTCCTCACAAAAACATGGATCGCTCCAGCCTGAGCCCATCTTGTGCAGAAAAGATCCCCTAAAGCACAGGAAAGGGCTGGAGTTACATTTATGTCTTTCTGGGAGCCTTTGCCTGTGCATTTACACATCTGGGATTTCCTGCCATGTGAAAGTTTTGTTCCCCTTCATGCTTTGGCTGGAAACGTTTGTATTTCCAAGAGGCGTTTCCTGCCCTGGGCTGCAGCCAGAGCATTTATGTCATTTTTGATCCAGGATTTTACCATTTATTTGTGTGCTTCCTACACATCTCAGTGGTTATTCTGGTCCAGCCTTGGCTCCACAGCTCTCATCACCAAGCCTGGCACGGAAATTTTCCCCTGACCAAAACAAACGGAACCGCACGTCGTGTCTTGAGCAGGGCTGACTCATCATTTCCTAAATGCCCCATGGCCCTGCAAATGCTCCAAAAAAGGAGCAGATTCATGGCTGAAAACATCCTGATGGCCAACGGTGCCAGTGCCCAAATCCCAGCTAACCACAGCCAACGCTCTGCCTGCTCTGGAACTCTGGAATTGGCGTTGGAAGGAGCACGCTGGGCACAGGATGAACACAAAGGGCTGGGAGGCTGGAATGGCTGTCCAGGCTGCAGAGGGGACCCCAGGGATGTGTGGAGCAGCCATGCATCCAGCTCCTCCACCCCAGGCACCAGCTACTGCTGCCCCCCTGCCCCATCTCTCGGCCCTCCCTTTGGCCAGCAAACCTCCTGGAGGTCCAACAATACCTTCTGGGCAGCCAAAGAGCTTTTCTTTTGCACAGACACATTAAAGAGATAAAGCTGGTAAGTGACTGACACCACTGACATCTAATCCCTCATTATACTGCTTTTCTGAAAGTGCTGTTAGCCCTTGCAGTGCCCAGATTTCTGCCTCCCAGGGAACAGCCTGGTGCTTGGGATCTATCTCTGTGAGTGGAAGAGGGAGAAGAAGCCAAGTGAGTGCCCGTGGTGTGGCCAAGCACTGTGGCTGCAGCTGGGGCAGGCAAGTGACAAACAGGTCGACATGGGGCTGGCTCCCTGGAGCACCTGCTCAGACACACCTGAAGAAGCTCCTTTATTCCATCTTCTGGTGCTGGGCCCAGCTTGTGTCACAAGTCTTGTGTTCTGGGATTTTACCAGCTTCCTGAGTGCTCCATCAATGGGTATTCCCCTGTGCCTTCCTTTTCCTGAATGCCCTGTTGCCTCTGGACGGGGTCCCTTGACCCCACGGGGTTCCTCGGGTGTCCCTGTGCTGGGTGACACTGCTGACCCCAACAATCCCATCCCAGCTCACATCCCTGCCAGCAAAACCCTGCTTGGCGCCTTGAGGGACGGATGCTCCGGACATTTACAGACAGTTACAACATTCCCACTTACTCATCCATCAGCCAGGTCAGCCTCACACACAAGCCACGTCTGAACCTCTCTCCCCATCTCCCCCAGAGCTCCCACCCCGTCCTCCAGCCTGGCTCTGCCTGCCGCTCACCCGGCTCGGAGCTGTCGCACTCCTGGGGGTTGCACTTCTGGGTGCTCTCCGGCCACGGCTCGTGGTCACACAGGCTGCTGTCCTCCTCGGCCACCCCCGTCCTGGTGTCCATGCACTTCACCTGGCGCCGCTGGATGCCCCCTCCGCAGGGAGCCGAGCACTGCGGGGACGCGGGGCTCAGCCTGGGGACAGCCCCAGGGCCACGCCGGGCGCAGGGCGGGGGTCCCCGCGCCCTGCGGTCCCCGCGGAGGGGAGCAGCCCTGCTCACCTGTCCCCAGGAGCCCACCACCCAGGTGGTGCAGGGCTGGCTGTTGCAGGGCCGGGTGCTGTTGGGCCTCAGGCTCTCCTCGCAGCGCCCCGGCTCGGGGCACGTCACCAGGCGGGCCTGCTCCCCGCCGCCACACGGCTCCGAGCACTGCGGGGCAAACAGGGCGCTGAGGGCTCGGCCCTGCACACAGCTGGGCCGCCAGGAGCCTCCAGGGACAGCTCAGAGCCTGCCAGGGCAGGAGGGGCTCCAGGAGAGACGGAGAGGGACCGGGGACGAGGGATGGAGGGACAGGGCACAGGGAACGGCTGCCACTGCCAGAGGGCAGGGATGGCTGGGGTACTGGGCAGGAATTGTTCCCTGGCAGGGTGATGAGGAAGTGGTATGGAATTCCCAGCTGTGGCTGCCCCCGGATCCCTGGCAGCGTCCCAGGCCAGGGTTGGAGCAGCTGGGACAGCAGGGGTGGGCTGCCCTGGCAGGGGTGGGCTGAGCGGTGCCCAGGCCAGCCGTACCTCTCTCCAGGAGGACGTGTACCAGTCCAGGCACGGGGCACTGTGGCACGGCAGCTGCGCCGGGGGCTGCGCCAGCCCGGCCTGGCAGTGGAAGGGCCGCAGCAGCCGCTGGTCCCTGGTGTCAACGCAGTGAACGTCCCGCACCTTCGTGCCGCCGCCGCAGCTCCTGGAGCACTGGGGAGGGACATGGAGCCATGGTGGGGAGGGACACACAGCCATGATGGGGCCACCGTGGGGAGGGACACACAGCCATGGTGGGGAGGGACATGGAGCCATGGTGGGGAGGGACATGGAGCCACGGTGGGGGGGGACACACAGTCGTGGTGGGGAGGGACACGGAGCCACGGTGGGGAGGGACACACAGCCACGGTGGGGAGGGACATGGAGCCATGGTGGGGAGGGACATGGAGCCACGGTGGGGGGGGACACACAGTCGTGGTGGGGAGGGACACGGAGCCACGGTGGGGAGGGACACACAGCCACGGTGGGGAGGGACATGGAGCCATGGTGGGGAGGGACATGGAGCCACGGTGGGGGGGGACACACAGTCGTGGTGGGGAGGGACACGGAGCCACGGTGGGGAGGGACACACAGCCACGGTGGGGAGGGACATGGAGCCATGGTGGGGAGGGACATGGAGCCACGGTGGGGGGGGACACACAGTCGTGGTGGGGAGGGACACGGAGCCACGGTGGGGAGGGACACACAGCCACGGTGGGGAGGGACATGGAGCCATGGTGGGGAGGGACATGGAGCCACGGTGGGGGGGGACACACAGTCGTGGTGGGGAGGGACACGGAGCCACGGTGGGGAGGGACACACAGCCACGGTGGGGAGGGACATGGAGCCATGGTGGGGAGGGACATGGAGCCACGGTGGGGGGGGACACACAGTCGTGGTGGGGAGGGACACGGAGCCACGGTGGGGAGGGACACACAGCCACGGTGGGGAGGGACATGGAGCCATGGTGGGGAGGGACATGGAGCCACGGTGGGGGGGGACACACAGTCGTGGTGGGGAGGGACACGGAGCCACGGTGGGGAGGGACACACAGCCACGGTGGGGAGGGACATGGAGCCATGGTGGGGAGGGACATGGAGCCACGGTGGGGGGGGACACACAGTCGTGGTGGGGAGGGACACGGAGCCACGGTGGGGAGGGACACACAGCCACGGTGGGGAGGGACATGGAGCCATGGTGGGGAGGGACATGGAGCCACGGTGGGGGGGGACACACAGTCGTGGTGGGGAGGGACACGGAGCCACGGTGGGGAGGGACACACAGCCACGGTGGGGAGGGACATGGAGCCATGGTGGGGAGGGACATGGAGCCACGGTGGGGGGGGACACACAGTCGTGGTGGGGAGGGACACGGAGCCACGGTGGGGAGGGACACACAGCCACGGTGGGGAGGGACATGGAGCCATGGTGGGGAGGGACATGGAGCCACGGTGGGGGGGGACACACAGTCGTGGTGGGGAGGGACACGGAGCCATGGTGGGGAGGGACACACAGCCACGATATGGGGAGGGACACACAGCCATGGTGGGGAGGGACACACAGCCATGGTGGGGAGTGACACACAGCCATGGTGGGGAGGGACACACAGCCATGGTGAACAGGGACACACAGCCACGATATGGGGAGGGACACACAGCCACGACATGGGGAAGGACACAGCAGCACTTGGGTTGGGGTTGAGGTGACACTTGACCTCCTTCCCCCCGTTGCTCTAGGCCAAGCCAGAGCACAGCCTGTGCCCCCATCTGTCACTAGCACCCCTCTGAAACCAGCTGGCTCCCAGCTGGAACATGAACAGTCTTTATGCCTCTAAGAACTGATGATTCCAGGGAACAGCACCCACCCAGAGCAAGGAGGGCTGCTCCCCACCACCAACCCTACCGAGTTCACCCAACCCAACTGCAAACAGCCCCTGGCAGGGCACAGTGGCCAGAATGTGACAAATCATAGAACCACAGAATGGCTTGCAATGGACCTTAAAGACCACCTTGTTCCAAGGCCTGCCATGGGATGACACCTGCTAGACCAGGCTGTCCAGCCCCACCCAACCTGGCCTTTCACCAAATCACTTGGTTTAGCTTTTACCAATTCCTGACTTTATCACCAGCCCAGGAAAAACGAAAACACTGTGGCATGAGTAGTTTAAACCCTGTGGCAAGCACAAACCTTTACCTATGTGTCACACAGGGTTAGAGCCCTCCCTGAGAGCAGTGTGACCCCACACCTCGCCCCGCGGGTTTTGGGGACCCTCTCTCCCCACGGAGCCCGTACCTTGCTCCAGTTGCCCACACGCCAGGCCGAGCAGGGTCTCAGGGAGCACCTCCGGGCGGGGACGGGCCTGTCGGCCGCGGGACAGCCGCCGTCACTGCCGCTGCTGCAGCGCACCGGCCGCCACACCGCGCCCAGGCCGCACGTGGCCGAGCACTGCAACACAGGGAACGCTGCTGGGTACCCCAGAAATACACAGTTCTGCAGCACAGGGAATGCTGGGTACCCCAAAAATAAACAGTTCTACAGCACAGGGAACGCTGCTGGGTACCCCAGAAATACACAGTTCTGCAGCACAGGGAATGCTGCTGGGTACCCCAGAAATACACAGTTCTGCAGCACAGGGAATGCTGTGTACCCCAAACACCCAGCTCTGCAGCACAGGGAATGCTGCTGTGTACCCCAAACACCCCGCTCTGCAGCACAGGGAATGCTGTGTACCCCAAAAACACCCAGCTCTGCAGCACAGGGAACGCTGTTGGGTACCCCATACTGGCCCTTGGGGCTTACCACGTACCTCACTCCAGTTCCCGACCTCCCAGCTGGGCTTGGCAGTGGCTGCTGCGGGGAGCAACGGTGGGAGCAGAGCCTCCTCCTCCTCCTCCTCCTCCTCCTCCAGCCCCTTCTCCCAGAGCAGGGGGGACAAAGGCATGGGCTGGGACAGCCCCTGCCCCCCATCACTGGAGGCAGGGGTCCCTGGGGGTGCCCACGGTGAGGGGTCCCTCGCTGGTGTCCCTGGGGGTGCCCACGGTGAGGGGTCCCTCGCTGGTGTCCCTGGGGGTGCCCACGGTGAGGGGTCCCTCGCTGGTGTCCCTGGGGGTGCCCACGGTGAGGGGTCCCTCGCTGGTGTCCCTGGGGGTGCCCACGGTGAGGGGTCCCTCGTCGGTGTCCCTGGGGGTGCCCATGGTGAGGGGTCCCTCGGTGCAGGGACGCTGAGCGGGGTCCCATGGGAGGTCAGCTCGGTGTGGGGTGATGCTGGATCCGGGTGCTGGGACACCCCCTGTGTCCCCCATGCCAGGGGGGACCTTGCTGTGTGGGCAGGTGGGCCATGAGCTGGGGCTGTGGGCATGGCTGTGCCCAGGGCACCCTGCTGGCTGAGGCCGCTGGAGGTGAGCTGGGGGGCTGGCCCGGGTATGGCAGGGGACAAGGACACTGGAGGGGCTGTTGTGGTCACCGGAGGGGTTGAGGTGGGGGCTGTGGGGGTGTGGAGCTCTGGCTGGTGCCCTCCCTGTCCCATGGGAGCCCCACCAGCACCAGCAGGAGGGGGACTCACGGCAGGGTGGGGGCTGCCAGCCCTCCCTGCCACCCCCCAGCCCGGGGCCTGCAGGGTGGGCAAGGCAAGATGTGCCCTCTCCATGCCATGGGATTGCCCTCCTGCCCGCGGGTCCAGCATCCCCTCTGGCATCCCTGCCCGGCCGTGCTGCTCGGTGGGCTGTGGGGCTGCACCATGGATGTCACTGGTGGTGGCCAGAGCCACTTCCCCGGAGTCCCCGTGGCCTCTCCCTGCAGACCAGGCTGGGCCGTGCCCCCGTGTGCTCACACGGCCCTCGCTGTCCCATCCTGCTGGCCCGAGGGACACGTCCACCCCGGCAGTGCCCCAGCCCACACCAGCGGGGTGGGGACCCCCGGGAGCAGGGACACCCTGCCCAAGGCTGCTCCTGCTGGGCACAGCTCCGTGGGGCTCACCCCAGGGTGGCTGGCCGTGGTTTGCAGAGCGGTGGCTCACGGAGCTCTGGGTGGCTGGGTGGTGCTCAGAGTGGGGCACAGGCACCGTACCCTCCTCCTCCTCCTCCTCCTCAGCCAAAAAGCCAGGGGTGGTGTAGCTGGGAGTGGCTGATCCCACATCCTCGGGGACCACGCTCAGGAGGTGCTTGGTGGCTAAATCCCCGGGCTCTGTGTGCTGCCCATCCACAGGAGCAGGAGTGAGTTCCTCCTCGGGGGCTGGCTGCTCCTGGCTCTCTGCTCCCAGCTCGGTGGTGAGCTCGGTGGGCAGCTCCCAGGGCCCCTCCGTGCCAGCAGTGCTCAGCTCTGGCTGTGGCTCCTTCTCTGTGAAGGGGTAGTAGGACAGGTCCTCGTGGAAGTTGATGAAGTTGTAATCGTAGTAAAAATCATCGACAAAGACATTTCCTTTCCTGGCTGAGAAGTCCTCCTCAGTGATGACATTGAGGTCGTTGGGCTCGGGGACGTTCGGGATCGAGGGGTTAAGTTTAGGAATGTGGTTGCTGGGGATGTAAGGGATTTCATTGAGTATCTCCCTGCTGGAGGAGCCGCTGCCAGACCAGTCGCTGTCCCATTTCTGGTGGCACTGTGGCAAGGAGCAAGCCCTCTCGGGGCTGGGTCTCTCGGCAGGGTCGCACGGGGCCCCGCTGCCGCCGCTGCTGCAGTGGACTGGGCGCCTCTGGGTCCCGTTCCCACAGCTCACCGAGCACTGCCAGGGGAAGACAGAGGGACAGGTCTGTGGGGCAAGGCCAGGAGTGGTGCCAGTGTACTCCCTGTGAGGGCTCCACGTCACTCTGCCAGCTCCCACCGCCCGCCCGGACAGTGCTGTGCCAGTCCCACCCTGCTCACCCTGGCATGCACAGCACTGCTGCCCAAATCCCCTCTGGGGCTGCCCCCGCTGCAGACCGTGCCAGAGCAGGGCTGGAGCTGTGGGGACTTTGCTCAGGGTGATCCTTGCCCTGCTTTCCAGCCAGAAACAGCTTTCCCGGGAGATGGAGGCTGGGAAGGGCAGGGGTGAGATGAGCTAATAGGCCTTTCCTGTGACCTATTGCCATGAATTGCAGCTCTTCTTCTAGAAGAGCCTTCTTTGAAGCAGGGAATAACAACATGGGTGTTGTCTGAGTAGGGAAAAAGCAAAGGTCAGGAAGGAGCTTTGCTGGGGACACACCATTCCCCATAATGGGCTCTTTGAGATGGGTCAGCACAAAAGAAACTGAGAAGCTGGAAAGGAGAGCAGCAGCATTTTCTGCTGCATTTGGGGCTGGGAGCAACCCAGGCTTGTGAAAGGTGTCCCTGCCCATGGCAGGGGGTGGAACCAGATGAGCTTTAAGGTCCCTTCCACCCCAGAGCATTCCAGGATTCCCAGGTGGCCACCAGCAGGCATTTCCAGGAGCTGGAATCAAACATCACCACACGCCAGCAACCTGAGAGGGCTGCAAGGAGCTGCTCCCTGAAGAACAACAAAGCAGTCCTCTGACTGCATCAGCCCCTTTGGAAACTGCACAGAGCTGCATGTGCAGTGCTTCGGGCTCCTCTGAGGCACTGAGCCCCAGGGTGTGTGCCACCCAAACCCCAGAGAGCCCCGTGGCAGGGCCAGGTGCCCCAGTGCCACATGGGGACACTGCTCCTGCCTGGTCCTGCAGACCACGCTGCCCCAGCCTGCTGACAGAAGGACCACGGCTCTGGAAAGCTCCCAAGCCCCTCCAACCCCCCTAATTATGGTGGAAATGGAAAAGAAAGAGGGCTCTCCCTTTAAATTAAAGGACAGAAAAATTTCAGGTCCTCAAAATCCCAAACAGATTTTCTCCAGGGCTCACAAATCCACTGGTGCCAACACCACAGAGGCCAGCTGTGAGGGCTGGGGCTGCCCTGCCCAGCACTGACCCACCTACAAGCTGTAATTTTCCCTTTAAATCGTTGCATCCATCTTTCCCAGCCCTTAATTGTGGCTTTTGGGGGCCCCTAGAAAAATATTTCCAACTCGCTCTCATCTAGCCTTCAAATCCTCTGTTCACATTTGATTCCATTTGTTCCTTAGCAACAAGCTCTGTTCCCAGGCTCTCTCCTTTCTCTCCTGATATTTGTCTTCACTCTGAACACTTTTGGCACTGCTGTTTAAATTAGGAGTTATCATTTTCTGGTTGAAACCCTCAGCCTGTGGTTAAGCTGATTCACAAAAACACAAAAATAAATCAAGGCTACACAGAGTGCCACCATTAATCACCCCAGGGAATCATTTGGCTTGGAAGGGACCTTGAAGATCATCCAGGTCCACCCCTTTCTGTGGGCAGGTGGTGGCTCCAGTTCCAGGTGGTTCCAGGCTGTTCCAAGCCATGTCCAGCTGAAAACTCCATTTCTGCCCTCTTTGTGCCAAGCACAGAGCGTGGCCCTCTCCACGTGTGAGGGAGCTGCAAAGCCAGGGCTGGGGCAGAGTTCAAGTGCCCAATGCCCCCTCCTCACCCTGAGACCCCTCCAGGCAATGGAATTCCCATCCATGGGGGCTGGGGCAGAGTTAAACTGCCCAGTGCTCCTTCCTCACCCTGAGACCCCTCCAGGCAATGGAATTCCCATCCATTGGCCCCACAGGGACACAGCCATGGATTCCTGTGAGCAGGAGCACAGCCATCGCCCTGGGGCAGGCTGAGGTGTCCGGGGACCCCTGTCCCCAGCTCCCACCCCTCTGCAAGACACGGGACACCCCCAAAGTCCCCTCTCACCTCGGACCAGTTGCCCACAGCCCACGGGGAGGGACAGGGGACCTCGGGGTGGCAGGGTGCAGTGGCATCTGGCTTGGCCAGGTGCTGGCAGTCTGCTGGCTGCAGGGCCCTCTGCTCGTCCAGCCCCACGCTCTGGATGCACAGCACCGTCCTCTTCATCAGCCCTGCCCGGCCACACGTGGCTGAGCACTTCTGCCACTCACCCACCCACCACCTGCAGGGGAAAGGGGGAAGAAAGGGGGGAGAAAGGGGGGAGAAAGGGGAAAGAAAGGGGGAAAGAAAGGGGGGAAGGAAGGGGGAAAGAAAGGGGGAAAGAAAGGGGAAAGAAAGGGGAAAGAAAGGGGAAAGAAAGGGGAAGAGTGAAAAGGGGAAGAGTGAAAAGGGGAAATGGGGAAAAGGGGAAATGTAAAGTGGAAAGGGGAAATGGAAAGGAGAAAGGGATAAAGGGGAAAGGGGAAGAGGGATATAGAAAAGGGGAAAGGGAAAGATCTCAGCCAGAGCAAGCAGCCGTGCCCCAGGACCCATCCCACTGCCCACCACGCGAGGCCATGGGGAAAGGAGGATCCCAAAAGTGTCAGCCCAAGGTCTGGGAGCTCGGACAGAGGGTCAGGGATGGGACAGCCCCCGAGCTGTGCCGGGGTTGTGCGCACAGAGGCAGAGAGGAGCATCCAGCCAGGATGGGACCGCCTGCGAGGCTCTGCCCGCGGACAGGCAATGCCTGTCAGGTCAGACAAGCCCAAGGACGCTGCCATGGACCCACCCGGGGCCGGGGACCCATCCCCAGGGCGAGGGAGGGGGAGCAGGCGGGTGGCACCTGGCCGGGCAGGGCTCCTCGCTGCAGGGGCGCTGCTGGTCGTCGGGGCGCGTGAGCGCGTCGCAGAACCGCTCCTCCACCAGGCCCGCCAGCCTCTCCACGCAGTGCACGACCTGCCGCTGCACCCCTGCGGGTGGGTGGGCGCTGAGGGCACCCCCAGGCACCCCCCGGGCACCCCCCGGGCACTCACAGGTGCCCCGGGGGCGATGGCACCACACGGGCGCCAGCACGGCTTTGGAAAGCCAACCCGACCACCCAGCAGGGCACGGGAGGCTCTCGGTGAGCCAGGAGAGTGGGGAGAAAATGAAAGCACCATTTGAAGCTGCACGTTCGTCGGTGCTGAGGCTGAGATGCCCTGGCAGAGCCCCTGGCACCAGGGCAGGGTGGCAGCTGGAGCCGTGCAGGCAGCACTGCCCGCAGCACACCCAGCCACCGAGTGCACTGCGAGTTCTGGGGCTGCCAAGGGGCACAACCTGGCTCTTGTGGCAGCCCAGCTCAGGACAAAGCACTGCCCAAAGCCTCGTGTCCCCAGTCTGCTCCCAGGGGATTTTATGTGACCTCATCACACTGCCTCGCTCCGGCTTCTGTCCCCGTTCTGTAACACGTACTTGACCTGTGACATGGAGAGCTGTCACCAAAGCTCAGCTGAGACTGACAGAACCCTGCTGAACCGCTGAGCTGGGCTCTGCCTCAAGCACTTGGGAGCTTACAGGGCCTTGGGACTCAGCAGAGGCTCACTGTGAGCTCTCCCAAACCCACATCTCATCTCACATCATCACTCAGTGCAGGAAGAGGGGCTCAGCCCTCCTCCAGCTGCTCACCCTCACCCGACTCCTGCCTGATTCACTCCTCTACTTCCCTTCTGTTCTGGAAGCCAAGCACTCGAATCATACAAAGAAAAGCTGGTTTTAAACAAAGCCCATGTCCTGGCACTCTGTGCTACCTAGAAAGCACAAGTGTCCTTGAATTCCCCTTTTTTCCAGTGCCAGCTGCTCTCGAGGAAGTGCTTGCTGCTCCCAGTCTCTCCTGGCAGACTTCCAGAAATGTTCCTCTGCACCAGCTGCCCCAAAAGCTGCCCTGGGGACCCTGGGACACCCAGCCAGTGGTGCAGGGGGGCAGGATGGGGGAAGCAAACATCCGCACAAGGACACTGTGGGACCCCAGCTCTCTGTAAAACCCTGCATATCCTCCCCCCGAGGAGAGGCCCAGGCAGGCAGGAGACCAGCCCTTCCACCCTCCCTGATTTCTCTAAAGCTCTTTTGTCTCCATCCCGTGCCGGGTAACAGGACACCGAGGCGGGAGCTGATAAAGCCCTGGGGTTCCCGCTGAGCACCACGGGCGTGACCTCAGCAGATGTCCCTTTCTTCTGCCCCTAGGACCTCCTGAAACCCAAGACCCAGGAATTTCAACGGCTCCCCAGGGATGCTCCGCTGCTCAGAGCGGGTGTGGGTGTCCCGGGACTGCACTCACCTGTCCCACAGGTGGCCGTGCAGGTGGTCCAGGAGCCAAAGCGCCACAGGAACTCGGGCTGCTCGATCTCGTTCTCGCTGTCGGCCGGGCGCTGGATCGTGTACTGGTACCTCACCCCGGGGTTGGTCTCCTGGAACAGCAGCTGGGGGACACAGGGGACAGGCTGAACAGCAGCTGGGGGACACAGGGGACAGGCAGGGTGTGAACAGCAGCTGGGGGACACAGGGGACAGGCTGAACAGCAGCTGGGGGACACAGGGGACAGGCAGGGGGTGGTCGGGCAGGGCAGTGGGGGTGGCACTGCACCAGGGGCCTCTCAGGGTGAAGGAGCTGCCCAGCAGGGCCAGGAGGACGTGGCCCTGTGTCCAGCTCCCCAGCAGAGCTGGATGGGACCTGCAGTAACTCGGTTTGGGGAAGGTGTCCCTGCCCATGGGTGGAATTTCCTACACTGCCTCCCACTCCAGAGGGGCTCCTGCTGCTCCTGTGGTTGACACAAGGCTCCTGCGCTCGTGAGGGCCAGGAGTTCATCCCTGTTTTTCTTAGCCTAAGCACTCCCATTATTGTCAAAGCTTTGTTGTTCTTGGAGCTTTGGCGGGAGCCAGGGCGTCTTTCCAAAACCTCTCCACGAATATCGAAACGTTGTTGTCCACGGGTTTTAATTAGGCTATGAATCCCAGAAAGTGATTTGTGGGCGCTGAGCATGCCAGCATTCCCATTAACAGTGCCAGCATTCCCATTAACAGTGCCAGCATTCCCACTAACAGCAGCCCTTGGCAGCAGCAGGCCCAGGATCCCGCTCACATCCCAGCCCGAGCTGCTGCTGAAGGAAAGGCAGAAGGAGATTGTGGCTGCTCGGGGTGGCTGAGCTCTGAGTGAGCCCATGCAAAGGAGGGGATGTTCTGCTGGCTGGGCCATGACTGCCAGGGCAGGGGGATCCTGGGGGTCCATGGGATGCAGCTCTGTGGCCACCACCACCTCGGCACCATGAGGGATGTCAGCCTGGTGCCAGCTGTGCCATCTCATGTGGGATGATTCCCACTGGTTTCCAGAGGACGGCTTGGCCTCACGGTCACAAGGACATTGGCTCCAGCAGCTCTGCATGAGCTGGCACCTCCCTCACTCCTGACTGTCCAGCCCAGCCAGAAGCACTGGGGGCTCTTTCCCTGCTGGTGATAAGATAGGGGAAAGGCCTCAGGAAACGGCTCTTTCTCCTCACACCCCTCTCCTGGGTAAATATTCTGCGGAATGCTGCAAAGGGGATCAGGCTCAGCTGCAAGTGGTGTGGGCACACCCCCAGGCTGGCAGCGTGTGCTTGGCTGCCCCAGCGTTGGCTCCCACAGAAACACAGCCCAAGGAGGGGCAGAGCTCGTGCCCTGGATGCAGGGAGGGCCGTGAGGGGCCACGGCAGCTCAGCCCCACAAGGAGGGCAGGACCCATCCTACCTGGATCCACACGGGCTCCACGGTGGGCCCCGGAGAGGTGAGGTTCTCCCAGTTCCCTGTCCTCTTGTAGGTGAAGGTGGTCCCTGCCACCCTGTAGTCCCCGTTCCACTGGATGGTCCAGCCACCATTCAGGAAATATTTCTCCGGGTCCTCGCTCCGCAGCGCCAGGAAATTCCCGGCTTCTGCCACCTCTTCAATCCGGATCTCCCGGGCTCCCACGGGGATAATCCCAATGTCCACATAACCTGGGAATGGAACCAAGCCTTGGTCTTGGGGGAGTCGGAGGTGTGTGAGATGATTTTTGTCCTTGGGCGGGTGCCGTGTCCCCTGGGTGCCAGCACTGTGCCAATCCTTACACCTCTGTAAGGCACCAGTGGGCACCAAGCCCTGCCCTGAGCCCACCCGAGTTCCCTGCTGTCTTATCCCCAAAAAATCGACAGGTTGGAATTAAACTGCCCTTCCAAAGGAGCAGCAGCAGCCCAGCTGTGCTGGACCAGCACGGGGTGCTCAGGGGACAGCAGGAGGTGCCCTTACCCAGCCCCTCGCTGTCCTCGAAGGTCTTGTGGACGGTGTGGCAGGTGGAGCCGTCCCCGTGGCAGACCCCGCAGCGATCCTCCACGGCGTGAGAGTCGATCTCATAGTCACAGCCCACGCTCTGCAAGGCAGCCCCGTCAGCCCCACACCAGCACCTCCCAGTCCCTCCCAGCACCGACTGCATGGTCCCCAAGGGATTCACAGCATCCTGGGATGGCCTGGGCTGGAAGGGACCTTAAAGACAATCCAGTTCCAGCCCCCTGCCATGGGCAGGGACACCTTCCCTGAGACCAGGGTGCTCCAAGGTTGCTCCAGGTTGCGTCCACCCTGGCCTGGGTGGTGCTCTGGCTCCTTGAGGCCAGCACAGAGGCTGGCACAGCCCGAGCCACTCACCCCACGGGACCCAGGAACGATTCCAAGTGGGGAGCGGCAAAGGGAGCGAGCTCAGCACGAGAGGGAGGGGACGCTGAGCGCCCAGCAGTGGGAGCTGCCCCTTGGGTGCCCTCCAGGCCCGGGGTGTGCCCGGTGCCAGCCCCACCTTGCAGATGCCGTTGATGCAGAGGTCGCGGCTGGCGTCGCTGTCGTAGCAGGGCGTGCCGTCCACCACGGCGTCGCGCAGCTTCTCCGCAAAGTACTCGTGCTCGGGCCGGCAGTGCAGCTCGCAGGGGTTAACTGGGGAACAGGCACACACTCAGCCCCAGCACCGGTCTCTCCGAGAGCACAGATCAACCCTGCAAGCCCAGGGCAGTGTAAAATACAAAATACAGCACGAGCGGGCTGCAAGGCAAGGCCGGGACATACAGCGCCAGCTCCGACCGCTCCGGGGCCGTGCCCGAGCCGCTCCAGGTTTGAGGGCTCTGCCCCCCACTCACTGTTGTTGGGCACTGGTGTCCACTTGTAGAGCTTCCCTTTGTAGGGCATGGGGTTGAACTGGCTGCACTGGAGCTGGCGGAAGGAGGGCTTGTCCGGGGGGCAGCGCCGCACGTTGCAGATCCGGAACCGCTTGCGCTCGCCCAGGCAGTAGCGGCCCCCGTACTTGGGCCTGGGGAGGCAAAAACCGGTCACACAAGGGCTGGGAGGGCACAGAGCTCAGCCACTGAGCTCTGGAAAGGTTTGGGTCCGAAGGGACCTCAAAATCCATCCGTGTTCCACCCCCTGGCACGGGCAGGGACACCTCCCACAGAGCAGGCTGCTCCAAGCCCCGTCCAGCCTGGTGCCCTCCCGGCAGCTGCTCTGGAGGAGCTGCTCTCCTTCCCACCCAGGGAGTCCTCCTGACTCTGCTCCTCTGCTGCCCCAGGGAATGGCAAAGCTGGCACTGGACTTTTTACAGCAAGAGAGACTCGAGAAGCACAGCGGTGCTTTTCTCAGATGCCAGCAGACCCCCACGACACGGCCACCGACTCCCGCCACGCTGCCTTGTCCTTCGGTCACACTCCATGGCCCATGTCCCAGTGACCTCACGAGAATTCCTTCTCCTGGGCACACTCTGCTGAAGAGAATGAAGCTAGTGATTGTTTTAGGGCTGTGTTTACACACCCTGCCCTGAGGAATGGCTGTGGGAGGGGGGGATGCCCAGCACACATTTTCTCACTTCATCCCAAGGGCAAAGCTGAAGATTTACCTCCAGCGGCCAAAGCAAACAACTGCCCGGGAAATTCCCAGTGTTTGCTCTCCTGCCTGTCCACAGCTGTGTTTGGAACACTCCACAAACCACCACAGCACCTCTGCCACAGTGTTTATGTCAAACACAAATCCAGGTCCTGGCCCAGGACTGAGATGACAGAGCACTTCCCTCAAGAGCCCAGCAGCACGCACCAAACTCACCCGAGGAAGAGGATGGGCAGAACATGTCTGGAAAGGTCAGGAGCTCACTCCTGGGGCTGCCAGAGCTCCCTATGCCATGGAAAAGTGAATTCCCATGGAACATCACTACAAAGCCCTTTTCCTCCCCATCCCAGGCTGCTCTGACACCAGGACCAGCCAGGGGTTTTGGCTGAATCCAGTGCAACAGGGATTTGGTGACCAAGGGGACATCTGGGGAGCAGATAGGTCAGCAGAAATCCCAGGATGGAGACGGCAGCTCCTCCAGCAGTGCCCGGACACTTCCAGCCAGCGCTGGCTGATGGAATGCACAGGGTGATAAACTGCAGCAGGATTTTTCAAAACAACTCTGAATCAGGCTGCAGGAATGCCTGGTTTGCTGCGCTGTCACTAAAGGACACTGGGTATGTTTTACATCGGAGCGTGGAGCCTCTGCCCTCTGTGTGAGTCACAGTGCAGCACTCCAGTGCCTGCAGTCCCTCCCAGCCCCATCCAGCCCGGCCTCCCGGGGGTCTGGCTTACGTGGGCTGGCTGCAGTGCCTCTCAGCACTCTGCACTCCTGCTCCACAGCTGCGGGAGCAGGAGGCCCAGGAGCTCCAGGAGCTCCAGCCGCCGTCGATGGGCTCGGGCCGGAATCCCACCGGGACGCACTCGCCGTTGAAGCACCACTGCGGGGACAGGGGGAGAACACCGGGTCAGGCAGGGAGCACTGGGGCCCAGCACACCAACTGTCCTGTGGAAATCCCTGCTGTGCTTGCTTGGAGGTGCCTGGGGTCAGCTCTGCCAGAGCCTGGAGCTGCTCAAGCCACGGGAAACTCAGAGGTGTTGGCTTCTTTGAGGATTTGAGGGAGGCAGCAAACCCGAAGCTCCATGGAGACCCCTCATCAAGGGGATTCACAGCCCAGTGTCGGCCCAGAGGGGCTCAGAGGTGCCTCCCCAGCAGTGGGAAAGATCCCAGGGAGGAGGATCCACCATGGCAGCAGAACGAGCCTTGTGCTGTCCTGCCATGGTCATTAATGGTGGGTTTCACCTTCCCAGGTGATTCAAGTGACCCCAAGCGAGTCACCTTCCCTGAGGGCAGTCCCTGCTGGGGACAGTGGGATGACCCAGCCCTGCACTGACCCTGCCCAGCCCTGTGTGTGCAGGAGCAGGCTCCCCGAGGCCATGGAGGGGTGTCCCCTGTTACCTTGCTCTCCCCGCAGGCCGTGCCATCCACAGCTGCGTCCAGCTTGGAGTGACACGTGTTCCCCACCGTGCACCACAGCGTGCTGCAGACACTCTGTGGGAAGAGAGGGACACGTTCCTGCCTGGCACAGAGCCCCCCCTGGGGCAGAGATCAGATAAAACCTTTGGGGACAGATCCCATCCCTCGGGCACAGATCAGGTCCATCCCTTGGGCACAGATCAGATCCCTCCCTCAGGCACAGATCCATCCCTCAGGCACAGATCAGATCCCTTGGGCACAGGTCCATCCCACGGGCACAGATGAGATCCATCCCTTGGGCACAGATCAGATCCATCCCTTGGGCACAGATCAGATCCATCCCTCAGGCACAGATCCATCCCTCAGGCACAGATCAGATCCCTTGGGCACAGGTCCATCCCACGGGCACAGATGAGATCCATCCCTTGGGCACAGATCAGATCCATCCCTTGGGCACAGATCAGATCCATCCCTCAGGCACAGATCCATCCCTCAGGCACAGATCAGATCCCTTGGGCACAGATCAGATCCCTTGGGCACAGATCAGATCCATCCCTCAGGCACAGATCAGATCCCTTGGGCACAGATCCATTCCTTGGGCACAGATCAGATCCCTCGGGCACAGATCAGATCCATCCCTCGGGCACAGATCCATCCCTTGGGCACAGATCCGATCCATCCCTCAGGCACAGGTCCACCCCTCGGGCACAGATCAGGCCCATGCCTCGGGCAGGGTGGGCACAGCCCCCCAAAGCCCCCCGGTGCCCCCCAGGCCCCCCTTACGTCCATGTCGTCGCAGAAGGTGGAGTAGGGGCCGTACTGCAGCCGGCACTGGTGGCCCACGTCGTACAGGACACCCGGGGGCACCAGGGGAAAGTCCAGCAGCTCCCGGGCCGGGCGGTCATCCAGGCACAGCCCCCAGCCCCGGCTGCAAGAGAGAGCCACAGCAGTGTCACCCAGTGTCCCACACCTCCAGCAGGGGACGGGGACAGGAGCTGGGGCACGTCCCAGGATAAGCAGCCAGCATTTCCCACTGGCTCTGCAGTCCCTGGAGCTGCTCCAGCATGGACAGGCACCCCTGGGTACCTTCTCGGGGTGAGAGCCCCCCAGAGCCATCCCCCCATATCCCCCTGGCGTGGCAGCACATGGGCAAGGTGAAGGGACAAAGACAGAAGGGGAAACAACCATAAATGTGCCGGTGGACATTTATCTCAACAAGCAGTGTGGCCGCTGCTGACAGGAACAAAGGAGATGCCAGCAGCCAGACGTGCCCACCACCATGCCAGCACAGGGCAGCTTTGGGGGGCACTGGAGGCGGGCAGTGCCGCCTCTGCTCCCGCTGCTTTCGCTGTGACACTTCCCAAACACGCGGTGTTATTTCAACAAACCCGTTTCCAGCAAAGCTGAGCCTCCGGCAGGGCGGCGGATCGGGTTACTCGGGTTTGCTGGAACCGGGAACGGCTCGCAATTCCCGTGCCATGAGATTCCTTCCCAAGCCAAAGCAGCAGCACGGAAACAGGGCTGGAAGCAGCAGAGCTGCTGCTTTGGGGTGCTGGCAGCGCACCCCAAAGTGATGCCCAGCAGGACCAGCGCCCCCTCCTCCCTTTCCCATCCCACCCACCGAGTTCCACAGCTGCAAACAGCTCCCTTGGCTCTGGAGACAGCCCCTGAACTCCCGTGCATGTCCTCACTGAAATACACTTTTATTTCCCTGTGGCACGAACCAGGAAAGGGCTTGCTTTCAAAAATCTCCATTTCCAAACCCCCAAGAGCAGCAGCACCCTGCTGCTCCCAGCCCAGTGGGAAGGGCAGGGTGCCATCCCTGTGGGTGCTGTGGGGCTCAGCTGGGATGGATGGGGCAGCTGGACACAGGGTCCTGCTGCAGCCTGTGTCAGGCACATCCTGGAGGGCACCTCCCCACATATTTCCACAGAATCCCAGAACCTGGCATGGTTTGGGTTGGAAGCAGCCTTAAAGCTCATCCTATTCTGTACACTTGGAGTGTTTTCTCTAAAAACAGAAGGTGTCTTTACTGGAAAAAGTCCAGGCTGAAGCACTTCATCCTGGCTGAGCCCCAGATGTGACACTCGTGCTGCTCTGACTCTTCACCCTGTGCCTGTTTGGGCCCCACAGGTGCCCCCTACACTGTCCCCAGCCTCCTGCTCCTGTGACCTGCTTGGGGCACTCCCTGCCCTGCCCCAGCTCACAGAGGGGTCTCTGTCCAGTCTGGGGGTGACTGGCATCTGCCTCAGCTTTCCAGCTTTTCCAGAATCTATTGCTTTGTTAAATATTTTACAACCATTCTCGTGGTCTGTTCAGTTGGCCAAAACACATCTCCAAGCAGGGAAAAATTGGCCTGAGCTTCCCTCTGGCTTCCAGGGATCTGCAGTAAATCCCAGTCCAGAGGGAAAGATGCAGGGCCTGCACTGCTCTGCCTGTTCCAGCCCGCTCTTAACAAGCTGGAGGATGGCCTGGATGGAACAATGATTGAATCCCCATCTGTGAGCAGCCTGAAAGCCTGAGAGGATCTGCAGATACAGTTCAGAGCAGGATTAAAATTCCAAAAGCTCCCAGAGAACTGGAGGAAGGGTCCAAGGAAGGCAGGACACAATTCAACAAAAACAAAGGCAAAGCTTGGAGCTCAGGAAGAATCAGCAGCACAGCCTCGGTGGTGGGGCTGGCAGGGGGGGCACGGGCAGGGCAAGGGCAGCACGCCCCCGGCCCTGGCAAGAGGAGAATGGTGGAGGAAGAGCTCCAGCACAGAGGAAAAAGGCTGAAAATCTGGCTGTCTGATGCAGAGCAAAGACTGAAGGGTGCCTTCACCACCAGAGCATCAGCAGCCAGCACCCTACACTGGCCTGAGCGAGGGGACACCTTCCTTGGGGACAGGCTGTCCCAGGAGGGACAGCACCTGTCCCAGTGTCCCCTCATGTCCAGGCAGAGCCTGAGTGAAGCCCCAGCTGCAGCCAGCACTGACTGCAGTGCTGCTGCTGGGAATCACTCTCAGATGCTGCACCATCCAGCAGTGCTTGTGGAACAACAACGACCTCGTGTAAAACAATAATCACCGGCATCCAAGAGTGCGGTTTTCCCGAACGTGAGCTCTGTGCCAAGCACACCCAGCAACCCCAGGCCAGCAGGGTCGGGTTTCCTGGCTCCTTCCCTCCCGTTCTCCTGCCAGCATCCCCTTACAACACGCTCCTGTCTGTGCTGGCCCCGTGCTGGCCCTGGCCCCGGGTGTCACAGCCGGTGACAGACGCCTGCCGGGCGCTCTCCCGAGGAAGAGCTGCTCCTTCTGGGGGAGCAGAGTGTCCAAAACCCCAGCAGAGGAGCTTCCAGCTGCTCTGTCTCCCCATGGCAGCTCGCAGCAGCCCGGGGTCAGCACAGGCAGGAAATTCTTCCTCCCCAAGTGAAGGTTAAAAGCAGAGGGCCGAGAGCGCTGCGGATGCGGGCAAGCTCCATTCCTCAGAAAGCCATAAATCAGCAGAAATTCCCCTGCACGGGGCCAGTCCACATGGCCCAGGCTGGGATCTGGGAGCCTGGCCCCAGCAGCCTCCCCTGGCCCTGCTCTCACTGCTCCTCCTGCTTCCAAACCTTCCTGCAGCAAGGGGGAAATGTTCCTCCAGTGCAAGCCACTGGCTGACAAACCAAACTCAGGGCTGGGCTCCTTGGAACTTCCTAACAACAGGCTGAAAAATCAGCCACGGGTGCTAAAAATAAACAAAGGCAGGGAAGAATTTGGCTGGATCTGGTTTGCCCATGACAGGCAGAGGGAACAGAAGAGGTTCTGCAGGGAATCTCCTGCAGGGAGCACTGAGGGAAAACACTGTGGTTCTATCTGTGCAACCACAGCCCCTGTGTCCCCCCAAAAGCTCCTGATCCCCTTTCACAGCACAGGGAGGATCCGTGGAATCGTGGAATGGTTTGGTGGGAAGGGACCTCAAAGCCCATCTCATCCCACCCCTGTCGTGGGCAGGGACACCTCCCACTACCCCAGGCTGCTCCAGGCCTTGGCCTCGGACACTCCCAGGGATGGGGCAGCCACAGCTGCTCTGGGCAAAGACCCCCAACACTCTTCGAGAGACATCTCAGAGATGAGAGCACCCCCATGCCTGGGCCCCGACCCCCAGCCCCATCAGTGAGGAGGAAGAGGAGGCAGCACTCACTCGAGGAAGCGTGTGATGTACTCGCGGCTGCAGCGGGACCAGGTGAGTGGGGACGTGTCATACAGGAGCTGTGGAGACATGATGAAAGGTCTTTTCCCAACTGGCTCACAGTCATTGCTGCTTCCATCATGCTGAATCCCAAAACTGTGTAAGACACAGCCCACGGAGGGGAGGTGAGCCACGGCCCCCACAGCCAGCACCGCCACCGCTCCCGGCCCCGCTCGGAGCAGGACCTGCCCCGGGGACGTGTGCTGACAGCCCTGAGCTCTGTCCCGTGCTTTCACTGCAGCTTTCCCACTGAAAACTCAGGAATATTCAACAGGATCATGTGTTTTCCCACACACGGATGTCTATTGGGAACTGCAGCGTTCAAGCGATCCTGTCAAAGTTTAGCTGAAACTGGGGCAAGCAAAACTCTGTCGCTGATATTACAGACAGATCCTGCTTTAAAACCTCTCAGTGGGCAAGCCCTGCTCCAAAACCCTCCCACACCACCCCAGGACAATACACAGGTGCAATTTCTCCAGGCTGCCTGGAATTGTGTGTTCTCATTAAACCTGGGACAACCCGAAACTTAACTCGGGAATGAAACCCTCAGGGAGCAAGGGAGCGTTTGCACCCGTGAGGAACCACCTGGGAACCATCTCCCAACTTCCCCCCGTGCTTTCTCCAGCCCCAGGGCGCACACAGAGAACAGGAGGAGGAGGAGGAGGAGGAGGAGGAGGGTGGTACCTGTGTCCCAGCTCGTGGGCCACGGTGAAGGCGAGGGGCAGCCCCGTGTCCTCGTTGATGTTGCAGCTCCGGTGGGGCTGGCACATCCCGGCCACGTGCGACAGCCCCAGGGTCTCACAGGGCCTGTTCATGGCAGCACAGATGTCCTTCCTTGGCCGAGGGGACGAGGACACACGGACAGACAGACAGACACAGAGCAGAGAGGGCGTTGGAAGGCGGCAGGACCCGGCACGCGGACAGCGGCCAAACGGGAGTGAGGGCAGAGACATCCAACATCCTTCCACAGGGGAAGCTTTCGTGACCTCTCCTTTCCCCTCTCCTCTCCCAGTATCCCCAGCTCCCAATTAAGCCTGATTAATGGGAGCTGCTGGCCAGCCTGGCTGCGTTTATTCCCTTGTATAAATAAAGCTGATGCTGGGGATAATCAAACAACGTTTTGGGGAAGCACATCCCAGAGGTGCTGTGGTTTTCCAGGGCAGCTCCAGCCACCCAGGAAGAACAGCTCCACGGAAGTACAAGGCCTGAAGTGCCTCATTTCTGCTACAAAGCAACCTCCCAGGGAAGATAAAGCTGCTGTGGGCTGTGAATCACCACCCAAACCACCACAACAGCCAGCTCACGGCAGCCTGACAGCCTCAAACCAGCCTTTGACTGCAAGGTACGCAAACTTGGCCAGAGGCAGGAGTTCCTGCCAGCTCCATGGGAGGTCAGGGGCTTCCCAGAGGCTCCTCTGCCAAGCCCAGCCTCTGATGGAAAAAGGAGAGTTAATCCTGTGTGCAGCTCCTGGATCCAGCCCTTCTGGGGCTTGGCAACAGGGCCACGGTGAAAACCTGCTTTGGAAACCTCAGCTGGGAGCTGTGTCCAGGTTTAAACCTGAGGTTTGGACCAGCCCACAGAATCACAGACCCCTGGAATGCTTTGGGTTGGAAGGGATCCTAAAGATTATCTAATTCCAGCCCCCTGCCACGGGCAGGGACACCTTCCACAGCAGTTCCAGCCACCAGGAAACATCCCCAGATTTCACATTACAGATCTTACACGCAGGTGTCCAAGCAGCGAGGTTTCAAGAGCTGCCAGGAGATGTTCCCTGGCTGTCCCCACCTGCACCAGGTGAGTTTTGGGCTGCCACAGCCCCAGAGCTGTGTGAGGGCTCCACACCTGGTGAGCAGCACGGCCACGTCGTGGTGCAGGGGGTGGGAGTCTCCCTTCACGTTGATGCTCTTCTGCCACTTGCAGAAGCTTTTCAAGGTGTTGTCTGCGTGGTGGGAGATCTTCAGGTCCTCCTGCCAACATGAAGGGAGATCTGCTGGAGCTGTTTGGATTTTGGGACGGGGAGGGGAGAGGGCTGAGCCCAGACACATGAGAGTGGGATTGGGAGCGACTGCCATCCAGATGGAATTGCTCCATGTTTATAGCTTGTAGGCTGGGTGGGAAGACAGCCCTTTTCCTGCTTTCTTTTCATCTGTGATTCAACCAAAACATTGAATCATCCAGTAACAGGGGTTAAGAACCACTGCAGGAAAACCCCGTCTGCTGGCTGACAGTGGGGACCCCGAGTGGCCTCAGGCCCCCCAGAGCCACCACGGCCAGCTGGACACGACCAGCCAGTGACCCCGAGCCCTGTGCCACCACAGTGACACTGTGTCACCACAAACCACCCCAAGGCCAGGCTCTGCAGCTCCTCTGCCGTTCCTGGCTCCACCAGCCAGTCCAGGAGGCAAAGGTGGGCACCTGGATCTCTCCACACTCTCTGGGCCAGCCCAGGAGGGAGCCTGGTCCCAGCCCAGCCCCAGTTTGGGCCTCACCTCCTCGTGCTCCAGCAGGATCAGCCGCACTATGGCGATGTTGATAGGGTTCCCGATGCTGGCGTGGTGGAACAGCCCTGCCACCTGCAGTGGGACACCAGGGGACACGGCTGGGGACACACAGCAGCCAGGACACTGCTGCTGCCCCCTCCAGCTGCAGGGGAAGCTGCTGCAGGCTGTTGACAAGAAGTCAGGAATTCCCCACGTGGGAGACAAGAGCAGACACGGGGCTGGAGTGAGGCTGCCGTGAAATCCATCCACGCCCGGGGTGATCTGTGCAGACGCTGGAACTCGGCCAGAAACGCCCGGGGACCCCTCTGCTCTCACTCCTACTGGATGTGTTTAACACCTCAAAGGAGCTTGGCGCTCTCTGGGTGCCTTCAGCACCCCCAGAAATCCATCCAGGGATGTCACCTGAGCTCCTCTGCCCCCTCGCACCCTTTCCTGGCATCAAGCAAAGCTTGCCTCTGGAATGCCAAGAGGTGCCACCCCGGCAGCAGCAGAGGCACAGACTGAGCCACCTCCTTATCTGCTCGTGTCACGGCACCGGCAGAGCCCCCAGACTGCCAGTGGAGACCACCACTTGTGGCTGTCCTTCCCTCAGCTGTCCTGCCCACGTCCCCCATCCCCGCGGTGCCCAGGCAGGGGTCCTGCCCGTGGCAGGGGTCCTGGCTGAGCTGGGGGTGCTCCCAGCCCTGCAGGGCCAGCACTCACCATGTTCATGACGGTCAGCACGTACTTCTCGATGTTGGCGCTGCCGTGGAACTCCACCATCTTGGTGTCTGCCACCACCAGCGTCTCCACCCACTTCTCCCTGCTGATGGAGCGCTGCCTGATCCTTCTCCTCCTCTGCTGCTTCTGCTCCCACCTCTCCCTGCGCCTCTCAGACTGCTCCAGGCCTTCCTGAGACTCTGAGGGATTCAAGGGGGAAAACATTTTTTTTCCTTGATCGAGTGCCTGCAACTTTAATATCTTCTTTTTTAATTGAAAGGAATCACCTTTGATGTGGAGAAGGCTCCCACTTAGAGCCATAACTCAGTAACTCATGTGCATTTTGCTGTGCTCTGTTCCAAAGGACTCTGAGCTCAGCCTGCTGCACATGAGCAGGACACAAAAAAGAAAAAAAAAGAAAAAAAAAAAAAAAAAAAAAAAAAAAAAAAAAAAAACCACAAAACCCAAAACAGAGCATTTGGAGGAATTTCTTTGATCAGAACAAGGTTTGCAATATTCCTCAAGGAACAGGGAGCCTCCCAAAGCAGAGTCTCAGCGTTTGTCCTGACACAGGAATTTGCAGACAACACTGCAGAGACGTTCGAGAAACAACCGGAGAAAAAACCCCAGTGGCTCCACATCTGGGGTCATCCCAAATCTGTGTTTTTCAGGAAGGGACAGTTCCCACCATGATGAACTCGGTGCCCCCAAAGCAGGACTGGGGACTGGAGGGGAGAGGAGAGGGAGAGGGAGAGGGAGAGGAGGCTCTGCTCCTTCCCAAGGGGAAACAAGGGGAATGCTGGCTGGAAGCGGAGGCGGGGGAGCTTGGCGCTGCTCACGCACAGCAGCCGCTGGGAATTCTGCAGCGGGGACTTTTCCTGCGACACGGCTCCAAGAGCAAGGTCAGGGTCAGCCCGGGCTGGGTGAAGGCTTTACAAACCTCATCCCACACAGTGGGAATCGCTTCCCTGACAATGCACTCCTACATTTCCCGGGCTGCACGGAGCGTGTGCTGTGAAAGGGAGTTTCGTCCAGCCTGAGACATCCCAGCTATCCGCACCTCCTGATGAATTGCTAACACCCCTGGGACGGTTTAATGGCAGCAGCTTCCTTGGAGCTCCTGTGTCCTTAGTGCTGAGCTCCAGCCGGGATGTGAGGCTGCTGCAGAGCTGGGGTGCCCAGGGGGCATTTCCACTTGGGATGATCTCTGTCACACAGCACCCAGCTGGGGTGCCCAGGGGGCATTTCCACTGGCATGATCCCTGTCACACAGCACCCAGCTGGGGTGCCCAGGGGGCATTTCCACTTGGGATGATCCCTGTAAAACACCACCCAGCTGGGGTGCCCAGGGGGCATTTCCCCTGGCATGATCCCTGTCACACATCACCCAGCTGGGGTGCCCAGGGGGCATTTCCACTTGGGATGATCCCTGTCACGCAGCACCCAGTTGGGGGGCCCAGGGGGAATTTCCCCTGGGATGATCCCTGTCACGCAGCACCCAGTTGGGGGGCCCAGGGGGAATTTCCCCTGGGATGATCCCTGTCACGCAGCACCCAGTTGGGGGGCCCAGGGGGAATTTCCCCTGGGATGATCCCTGTCACCCAGCACCCAGCTGGGGGGGCCCCGGGGGGATTTCCACTGGCATGGTCCCTGTCACACAGCTCCCAGCTGGGGTGCCCAGAGGGCATTTCCACTTGGGATGATCCCTGTCACGCAGCACCCAGTTGGGGTGCCCAGGGGGAATTTCCCCTGGCATGATCCCTGTAAAACACCACCCAGCTGGGGTGCCCAGGGGGCATTTCCACCGGCATGATCCATGCCAAACAGCACCCAGCTGGGGGCGCCCAGGGGGCATTTCCACTTGGCATGATCCCTGTAAAACGCCACACAGCTGGGGTGCCCAGGGGGCATTTCCACTGGCATGATCCATGCCAAACAGCACCCAGCTGGGGGTGCCCAGGGGGCATTTCCACTTGGGATGATCCCTGTAAAACACCCCCCAGCTGGGGTGCCCAGAGGGCATTTCCACTTGGGATGATCCCTGTAAAACACCCCCCAGCTGGGGTGCCCAGAGGGCATTTCCACTTGGGATGATCCCTGTAAAACACCCCCCAGCTGGGGTGCCCAGAGGGCATTTCCACTTGGGATGATCCCTGTCACACAGCACCCAGCTGGGGGTGCCCAGGGGGCATTTCCACTGGCATGATCCCTGTCAAACACCACCCAGCTGAGCACAAGGGCGGGCATTTTCACTTGGCATGATCCCTGTCAAACACCACCCAGCTGGGGTGCCCAGGGGGCATTTCCACTTGGCATGATCCCTGTCACACAGCACCCAGCTGGGGGTGCCCAGGGGGAATTTCCCCTGGCATGATCCTTGTCAAACAGCACCCAGCTGAGCAGAAGGGCAGCCCTGGGCATTGACAGGACTTAAACAACACCAGCAGCATCTGCCTGTCGTGGGCAAAGCAAAGAGCAACACAGCAGAGCCCAGAGGGAGGATGGCAGTCACTAAAATCCTGCAGACTCTGGGGCTCCTCTGGGATTCCCCTCCAGGGCATGCACAGCACGTCCACCCCTGTGGTCATGATTACAGAGCACATCCACATGAATTACACACAGGCCATGGTATACCCAGAGAAATTAATGTTCAAGAATCGACTTCAAAGTCCAGAAGGGACTTGAGTCAAGAATAGACTTCAAAGCCTAAGTGAAGCCATTAAGATTATCACCACAGATTAAGTAATTAATTTAGATTATCAGAAGAATGCCTGAAGATAACCCTGTTCCAGAGGCAAACCCCAGTTTGTGAAAGCAGAGAGCTCCAGAAAACGTGCAGCACATAATGCACTGCAGCCTCACCAGGGAGCAAAGTGCCCATGAGCTTCTGGGGATGCACTGAACTCCTCAGCACTTGAAATGCTGCATTTGGGAGTTTATCCAACCCATCTGCTGCGCACAGGGAAGGACCCACGTGCGCTCTGCCCACAGTGGGAGCTCCCGGGGCAGCCACCGAGTTCCACTCCCAAAGCCCCACGCCCTGGCAGTCCAAAAACAAAGCTTTTGTGGAAATGAAAGCAAAAGCTCTGTGTCCACATCACCCCCAGCAGGGCTGGGAGCACAAGAGGAGCCCAGAGGCCCAGCACCCAGTGGGTCACTGGTGACACCGAGGAGGGGACAGTACCTCGCACGCCGCAGGGCTCCCGTGGGGGTCTCCTGCCCTGCTCAGCCCTGTCCTGGGGCACCTGGCGCTTGTAGATCCTGTGGGGCTGTGCTGCTCCCTCCTCCCGGGGGCTGCTGGACACGGGCTCGATGAAATAGTCCTCGTCCATGAGCTGAAACACACCTTTCTGCCAGGGAGACACCGAGTGCCACCGTGAGGCCACCTGCAGCCCCGGTGGAACCTGGCACTGGGAGTGATCACGGCACCAGGGAATGGTTGGGGTGGGAAGGGATCCTAAAGCCCACCCAGTGCCACCCCTGCCATGGCAGGGACACCTCCCACTGCCCCAGGCTGCTCCAGCCCCAGTGTCCAGCCTGGCCTGGGACACTGCCAGGGATCCAGGGGCAGCCCCAGCTGCTCTGGGAATTGCAGCCCAGCCCCTCCCCACCCTCCCAGGGAAGGGTTCTCCCCAGTGTCCCGTTTACTCCTGCCCTCTGGCACTGGGAAGCCGTGGAGGATCCCACGGAGCTGTGCTCCCTCCAAAGTGAGGGACAGGAGCGTGAGCACTGCCCCACCAGGTACGTGGGGCCATTTCTGCAAACCCACAGGACCCATGTCCCCCAGACTCCTCCAGGTCACTGCTGCCTCAGGAAAAACTGACAGTGAGCTGAGGAAACAGCGAGCAGCTTCCCTGCCCAGGAGCTGGGCTAGCACAACAGCTCCAGCTGCCAGGTGTGCTCCTCACAGTCCCAGTCACACAGCAGGCAGAGAATTGCTCCTTTTGGGAATTTGGACACAAACAAGTAAACCTAGCCTCGGAGAGGTCCCAAACCACTGCAATCCATGGGAAAATTACAGTCAGCTCATCCATGGTGTACCAGACCTGCGTGAGGAGACGCTGACTCTGCTGCTGCTGGGAAATTGGGCGTCACTTTTGGCAGAAAGAAGGGTTCTTCCCAGCAGCTCCTGCCGTTCCCTAGGGACCAGGGCTCGGTGTGGAGGGGGCAGTACTCACCAGGCCATCGCAGGTGCTGAGGGCAGCCAGCCCCGCCTGCGGCGCCCGGCCCCGCACCTCCCCGATCATATGGCACGGGTTGTAGGAGCGAGGCTGGATCTTGGCGCCGGCGATGCCCCCGAAACGCCTCTCGCTGACAAAGCCCGGCGCCAGGAGGTGCCTGTTGAGGCTCAGGTTGAATTTCAGGGCTTGCCCTCTGTACTGCAGCTCGTAGAAGGCGGGAAGCTTGCTCCTGGAGGCGGGAGACCGGCGGTGGAGGGCCCGGTGGGACAAGTCGTAGGACAGGAAGGCTCCGCTCTCGTCGACCTTGACGGGATGGACGATGTCGCTGCCGGAGGGCGGCTCTGGGGAGAGGGGGGTGCGCTGGTTACCTGCAGGGCTCTTCACCTTTCCTCTCACGCCGCTTCCCCACGCTGGACCCGGACAGCAGCTGGCTGTGCCCGCTGGGATGGCACGGGGCAGGGACCGTGCCCTCGGGGCCAGCGCTCAGGTCAGGGTCGGGGGCCGGCCGGGCGAGGGGCAGCCAGGCAGCTCCGGAGCCCCGCTCAACTCTCCGGCTGCCAGTGAAAAAAAAAAACACCGAACGAACAACGAAAGAACTCCCAGAAAATGGAATCCCCGCTTTGGGGCGGTGTTGGGACACGCCGCCTCTGGGGGCAAAGCACCCGCGGGCACGGAGCGCCCCGGAGCCTGCCCGGGCGGGCTCGGCGCTGCGGGCACCGGGGCTGCCGGCTCCGGGCGAGCGGGACACCGGGCTGACCGGCTCGCAAGCATCCCGCGGACAATCCGCTCATCCCGCTCATCCCCGCCGACAATCCCGCGGACACCCGGCGCTCATCCCGCTCATCCCCGCGCTCCACCGCCATCCCGCCCCCATCCCCGCGGACCCCCCTGGCGGTCCCCCCGCGGTCCCCGCCGTGCTGTCCCCCGGACCTGTCCCCGCGGTGCCCCCGGCCGCGGCCAGCGCCAGCGCGGCGGCGACGGGGACGAGGGGCAGGAGCGGGCGCAGAGCGGCCGGGGCCGCCATGGCTGCGGCGGGCTGGGGGCTCCGCGGGGCGGGGCCGCACGGGGGCGGGGCTACACACAACGGGGGGCGGGGCCATGCACAACAGAGGGCGGGGTTACACACAACAGAGGGCGTGGTTATGTACAGCAGATGGGCGTGGTTATTCACATTAGATGGGCGTGGTTATGTACATCATGGGGCGGGGCTATACTGATCATTTGAGTTTGAGGTTTCCCGTTTTCGAGATTTTGCACTATACTAGTATATAAATCTGAGCTTTATTTAGAGTATTAGCAGTTCTCACAGCTCGGTCAGACAAAACAATCCTTTTCCAGCCTGGCAGCCAAGGCCAGCGTTGCAGTTTCAGGTCCAAAAAGTGCCAACAACAGCGAATTGAGGAGAACAATCTGAGAGGATGGGACTGCACAACCCGGAGCTGCAATTGGACAATTAACCCCAGGATGGAAATGGACCAAAATTTATAAAAGTGTGAAAACTCGTGACCTGGAGTCCAGCTGGGGCATAGCCATGGCTGGGCTCTTGTACTGCCCAAGATGTACCCTGTCTTTTAATAAATCTCTGCTTTGTTCTTTAACTCTGCCCAGTCTCTGCTCCAGGCAGCCCCTCAAGGCACATCAGAGGGCGGGGTTATGCACATTAGGGGCGGGGTTATGCAGATTAGGGGGCGGTGCTTATTGTACGCCTTGCCAGCGTGGCCCGTGGCGCCCCCTGGCGCTCGTTTGCCGCTTTGCTTCGTCTGCCCGCCCTGAGTACCGCGATTTTAAAAAAATCACCAAAAATTCAGCGAATTTTCGGTCAAAAATGAAAAACGGTGCTTGGCTGACGCCGCCACATCTCTCGTCTCCTCAGCCGGGGCTGCCCGTCGCCGCCTCCTTTTATTTTCTCTCAGGTTGAAGCGCACCGGGAGCAAACACCCGGCATTACTCGGCTCTGTTAATTACCGCCTCGGGGGCTGCTGGCGGCTCCGGCAGCCCACAGCTTTCCTGTGACGGCCGCACCTCCTGTGGCTCCACACCTGCCGGGATAATGGGAAAACGTTTGGGATAATGTTTAATTAGGCGAGAATGTTAAATATGCAAATCAGCCGGGCACGCGCCCTCTGGCGGCCGGAGCGGGGAACACCCACTGCCGGCGGGGCGGTGCCGACACCCGCTGCGGCCGCTGGGTGTCCGTGGCGCCCGGCTAGCTCAGTCGGTAGAGCATGGGACTCTTAATCCCAGGGTCGTGGGTTCGAGCCCCACGTTGGGCGCATGAGATTTTTCTTTTTTTTTCTCGGTTTTTATTAATTTTTTTTCCCCCAGTCTGGCTCCTCCCGGCGCGGGCAGCCAGCACTCGGCAGCCGAGCCGCCCCCGCACGCCGAGCGGGGCGGAGCGGGCGCGGAGCCCGCGGACTCCATGTCCCGGCATGCCCGAGCCGCGGCTGCGCGGCGGGGCCGGGCCGGGCAGCGCCGGGGCCGGGCCGGGCAGCGCCGGGGCCCCGCGGGGAGCGGCCGGAGGAGGGACCGGCCCTTATAAATGGCGCCCAAGCAGGACCCCAAGCCCAAGTTCCAGGAGGGTGAGTGCGGGCAGGGCTCGGGGCTGCGGGGCTGCGGGCCCGGGGCTGCGGGGTGCGGGCCGCGCCCGGCGCGGGGGGCTCGCCCCGGCTCGGCGATCCGGCTCCCCGCGCTCCCTGCTCAGCCCCGGGCAGGTGCGAATAGGTGGGAAAGCTGAATTCCCGCAGGCTTTGTCTCTTCCCGGCCCTCCCCTTGCCTGCCGGTAGCACGCGGGCCCTTCCCACCCCGTTATTCCAAATATCCTTCATTTTCCTGGCATTAAAACTGCTGGAATCCCTCTGGTTTGTCGGGGGTTTTGTTTTAATGCCTTTGGAAGGTGGCTGTTGTTTGTTGTCCCCCGGAAGGGAGCCCGGTGCTGGAGGATTCATGGAGGCAGCACAGCTGGAATCCACATCTGCCGCAGAGCTCCGGGGTTGGGGTGAACGAGGATGAATCGCGCTTTTCAGGAGGCTCTTTCTGCGTATATTTCGGGTTTTAGGTAACGGTTGCGATTGAGAGTAATACAAGCGAGGTAAATAAAAATAGCAGTGCAGTGTAAGATGGATGCCCCATCCCTGGCGTGTCCTGGGCAGGGCTTGGAGCAGCCTGGGACAGTGCAAGGTGTGCCTGCCCTGGCATGAGCCTTGGTGTGTGCATCCAGGGAACAGCCTTTGTGTGAGGGACAGGAGCCTGCCGCCGTGTCGTGGAGACAAAGAACCCTTTCTGCAAATCACCCGTGTGCTTTTTAAAGGTGAATGTTCCTCAGCAGCCGTGGGCATCTCTCCTGGAAAACACTGCACGGCTCTGAGGCAGAGGGGTGTCTGCCACCAGCGCTGTGACAATGAGGCTGGTAATGTCACCTCTGATTGTCAGCCCCGTCTGTAGGGACGTTTTAAAACAAATAAAAGTACCGGCTGTGTGCTGTATCAGTGTGGCACTTCCAGGAGAGCCCTTCTGAGCCTTTTTCTTTGTTGGGGCACAGAAGCGTTTCACAGTTCTGCAGCTCATCTTCCCAAAACCGGGAGGCACTGCAGCTTCCAGGAGATGTGTGCTCTCAGATAGCCTGTGTTAGGCACCCTGCAAATCCCACAGAGGAACCACACAATGAGACTTGGCCAGGAGAGATAAAACCAGGCTGAAGGACAATCTCATCCTGCTCCAGACCCCAGAGAGGGGGGTTCTGCTGCCCAGCCGCTCTGCCCTGTCCCACAGGCTGGGTGGGGAAGCAGCATGGTGGTGTCTCTTCCTAATTCCCTGAGCTGGGAATGCCACGTGCTGCCCTTCCTGCAAGAAAGGGACGCGGGTGACGGTGGCTTTCGGGTGTCAGGAGCTTCAGGTGCAGAGGTGGGGTGTTAGGAGAGGGCCTGGATCAGGGCCCTGTGGCTGAGCCCAGCCTGCTGTGGGGGCTGCAGCCTGAACTGAGGCTGGGGAGGGGATCTGGGCATGGCAGGGATGTGGGGTTTGCTGCCAGGCGTGGCCAAAGGCACCAGTGCCGTGACCGTGCCAGTGTGCAGCTGCTGCTGGCATCCTCGGGCATCTCTGCTCTGGGTTCCAAACAATCACAGCTCTGATCCCTTTGCTGGGACAGAGAATTGCTTCTCCAGTCAGGTCCTGCCTCGGGGCTGCCCCTGTGCTGTTCCTGTGACAGGGCTGTGGGAGTGTTCCTCTGAGCTGTTTCTCTGTGCTTCCCTTGCAGGTGAGCGAGTGCTTTGTTTCCATGGACCTCTCCTTTATGAAGCCAAGGTGGGTGTGTGTGGCTGCAGGAGAACAAGGACGTGTTTCTGTCTGCTGTGCCTCTAGATGGGACCAGGGACTGGAACTAAAATTGACAAAAACCTGTCTGAAATCAATGTCAAGCCCTGGGGCTCTATTCCAGAACAATTTCAGGAAGCCCAGTGGCACCGTGCCGCTATTCTGGGAAGCTCCCAGAGGCTGTTAGAACATCCCAGAACACTGGAAATATCCCAGAACACTTTGTGCCTGCAGGATTTGGTGCCTGAGCTGCTCAGGGGGAGGGGGCTGAGTACAGCCTGTGGTGTTCCACAGTGCCCAGGAGGAGCTGCACTGCAGTGACAATGCAAGTGGCAATCCCAGTTCTGCTCCCAGTTCTGGCTTTTTAACCACAGGAGCCTGCACTGCAGATTTGTGCCCCTGCTGCCTCAGAGTTGCTGCAGGCACAGCTCTGGCTCTGAGTGCCCCCTCTCCCTCTGAAAGGGAAGGAAAGGGCTCTTGGAGCCGTGTGGGTTGGAAGGTTTGCAGAAATTCCTGGGGCACCTCGGACAGGGATTTAAATCCTTCGGGATTTGGTGTCAGTGAATGTTAACACAGGGAGGCAGGAGAAACACTCAACTTCTCTCTTCAGGAGAAAGAGTTGTTGTAATACTAAAATCTCACTGAGAGGGTTTGGGCTGCTCCAAACCATTCCCACCTTAGGGTTCCTACTCTGTTCCTTCCTGCCTCTGTAAGAGGAGGATGATGTTGTGGGAGTGTGGGACAATTCCACCTTCTGTTGGGAATGTGTTGTGCCAGTGCCTGCAGAGAGGAGGCTGATGGAGGCTCTGGTTTGGAGGAAATAACCACAGTGTGCCACTCAGGCTGAGCTGGACAGCAGCTGTGCTTGCCCTCCTTTTTCCAGAGTGGAATGAGTGCTGCAGGGGCAGGCTGTGCCAGCTGCGTGCTGCAAGGGAACTCCCAGCTCACAAGTGGGTTTTGGCTCTGCTCTTTGTACTGAGTGGATCCTTCTGAGTTCCTGCACTGGCACGATGAGCTCGAAGTTTCATTTTAAAAAGGTTTGACTTGTTTATTTTAAGGGGTTTAATTTTAAAAGCTGCTTTGTCAGTAGTAATGAATAACAACCTTGGCTTTCTTCCTGCTCCTTTGATCTGTTTTTCTGCCGTGGTTCTCAGTCCAGCAGTTGTTTTGTTCCTGACCACATCCTTGGTATGCCACAGCAAGGTGGTCAGAGCAGCTCCTTGTGAGGGCTCGTGGCAAACAGGAGCTGTTTGTGCATCTCTGCCATGCAGAGTTAAAGGAGATTCACTTCAGGCCCTTCTAACCCCCAGCAGGGAAAATCTTTTGCTACAGAACTGTATTTGACTCATCTGTTGCTTGGTGCTCAGCCCCTTTATTCTCCAAAACAAGCAGAGGCAGGCACAGGATGTGTGTGGCTGGGTTCAGCTCCAGGCTGTCAGAACAAGCACTGCTGCAGCAGAGGATCCAGCAGGAGAATCTTAGTCCTGGCTGCAAGTTCACCTGAGCCTGGGTTTAAGTTCTGTGTGTGGCATGTTGCAGATGTTTCCTGAAACAG